CTCCAACAGGGAATGAATCTAGAATTTAAAAGGGATCTAAGGACAACACAGGGTAAGAATGTTTCTCCAAACAGTGCATAGTTTTATGTCTGGATCACCCACACATCCTGCCCAGAGAAGATGAAAAGCTTGCTTAGGATTCATTCAAGTTTCCAGTATAAGGTCTGAACTTCTCTCATACATGTGTTAAAAAACATCTGTGGCCCTGTACAGCTGGCCAGAAAATCAATTATGATTGCACCAGTCTGGCTATAGAAATGGCAGAAATCAACTTGTTTCTATTTTTAAAACCTAAAACTTTTAGAGTCAAAATAAAGGAAAACCAGCCTTCTTGAGATTTTAGTTTCTATGGATACATTTAGTTTTACAAAAAGAGGGGTGTTTGAAGCCTTCATCTGGAAGAAAAAAAAATATGTTACTAATAATAGTTTAAAAGTAAGTTTGTGGAAATTAAAAATATATATTCACAAATGCTATAGTTTCTGTGGACATGCATTTGCTACACAAACGGAGCTAACCTTACATAACCTAGTATGGCTATTATTGTCTTCACTGTTTGAATTTTGTTCGAATAAAAAATATCCCTGAAATATTTTCCTGTTAACCTCGTTTCTCTATCTAGTGAGAAAGACAATCAATTATTCTAAATATGCATAGTCAATAAGGGATGACGAAAAGGACACCTTACAAAAGTGCTTAAGTCCTAGCTGACTGCAAGATTCTCCTTATTTCTAAAATTAAAAATAAAAACAATTGAGACAACATTCCATAGGATGGATACCTAGTCTGCTATTTGCCAGCTAAGTGACCTTAACTAAATTCTTAATCTCCCTGCGAAAGGAGCAGATGGTATGAGTATTCAGTACATATGGCTGTTTCGAGGCTCAAACCATAATGTACATACACGAGCCTTCCACATTCAGTGATATTATTTTTATCATCTAAAATCACTGCCCATTAACCTGTCCATCTCTGCTTTAAAAGCTTTCTAGGCTCTTAGTTACTTCCGAGAAAATGGAAGATACTTTTTACTCCCCAGGATGATGTTTTTGAGAATTCCCAACATTTGGGCAAAAACCTTGCCCCTTCTGCTTCTAATCCTACCCCCAACATACTCTCCAGTTTATCACAAGCCAGATTTTGGTGGGAAACCAAGCTATAACACCATTTTCCATCCACCATGACCCATCCATCATAGAACCAGATGTATCCTACCTCCTATGCTCCACTTGAATTGATTCTTTTCTCTCCATCCCTAATGCTTCTACATGAGACCAAGTCACCATCGACTTGCACTCTTTTACAAACAAATCTGATTATTACGCCACTCTAAAATATCACCCGAAAAATCAGATTTTGTCAGTTTTCTTCTTAATGGTATCCAACTCGAACCCTCCTTTCTAGTCTAGGCAATATGCCAGTTCTTCATCAATAAAATCAGTCTCATTTCTACAACTTTGCCTTCACTTATGAGATCCTTCTGTCTTCACTTACGAGATCTCTCTTTCCTTGAGTCCTTTCTCCACTTCTCTTCTCTCTGACAAATCTTTCCAACTTGCAACAGCTAGCAATTGCTGACTACTCCATCCACGATAATTTCTCCTTAACTGAAACGCTATTGTCCTCGTAGTTGAACCCATACTGTTTAGCTGTATAGTGGGATTTAGCTGTGGAATAGGAACGATACATATGCTATGTAGCGTAGTGTCAAATGCAGGTAAGCAAAGAAAAACCAAACTTACAATAAAGGGGAACAAGGTTCAAAATCCACAGCTGTGCCCAGCTGCGTGCCTTTGGGAAAGTTACTGGACCTCTCTAGCTTTGGTCACTTCGTCAATAAAATAGATGATGTTTCATGTGATTGTGTTGATAAAATTATGTAAAATCTCGGTGCAATGCCAGACCCTGTAGGGGACTGCTATAAACTGTTGTGTGCAACAGAACTCCAGGGAGCACGTTCCACTTGTCATGGTGGGACCTCCTAGTAGGTTAAGTAGTCAGTATTATTATTACTTACTTCATGTATTTTGACCTTTCTTACGATGCAGATCGTAAACATGGGGGGGCAGACATCCTCAAGTAATTATGGACAACCTAATAGGTACACATTCAGTAAATATTTTCCTATTCTTCCTGCCCCATCCTGCAGCAAATTTGCTTCTGAGAAGTTGAGTTTTTGACTCGTGCCACTGGCTTTCATTAACGAGTATATTATGTTTTATGTCTGTCACATAAAACAAATTGCTATTTCTTTTTCAGGGACATGTTTACGGGCACTGCCCTGACATTTCCTGGTGCCACCTCTTTGAAATTCAGTGTGAGAGATTTCTTTTGGAACTCAGTCTAAGAAAAGCTTTGCTTCTCTTGAGAAACACATATAAATCACAGGATTGCTGATAAATATGTAGCAGACTGTGTTTCTTCTTTTATTTTGGTTATCAGGAAACTGAAGTTCAAATATCATATCCCACATTAGCAACTAACTAGAGTCTTAGGACTTGCTGATCTCATCACCCTTTTCCCCTGGTGGGTCTATACATCATCGGTGTAATATAACTTTACCTATAAATGTACCTGCTAATTTTTCACTAATATCCATACTCACTTTTTTCCTTTTATTAATAAAATTCTGTGCGGTTTTTAAAATTTATTTATTTATTTATTTTTTAAAAGATTTTATTTATTTATTTGACAGACAGAGATCACAAGTAGGCAGACAGGCAGGCAGGGAGAGAGGAGGAACTCAATCCCAGGACCCTGAGATCATGACCTGAACCGAAGGCAGAGGCTTAACCCACTGAGCCACCCAGGTGTCCAATTCTGTGAGTTTTAGTTGGGCACATGGATGCCTAGTTGGGGACATTTCTCAGCCTGCTTCCACTAAATGACTAATGGGATGTGAATTGGAACGTGGCTTCTGGGTCATGCCCTCAGCAGGAACTCTTTACTTTCCACTTCCTCTTTTCTCTTCTGAGGGACTATAGCTTAGACATGGTCCTGATGAGCCAACTTTGACTTTGTGGAAAGGGCGATGTCTTAGGGGAGAGAGTAAAAATAGAGAAGGATCCCTAGAATATCATCAAGCCCCACCCCACTGGACTCCCGTCCAGCTGAACTTCCATGGGAGTGAAAAATAAGCTTTCAGTTTTAAGCCTGTGTTATCTTGGTCCCCCTCACAGCAGCTGAATCAATACCCTACATAATATACCCTCATCCTACTGTTTTGTTTTTACTTATGTAGTTTACTTTTGTTCATGTGTATTTCTTTAAGCTATTTCTACTGCATTTGTTGTTTGTATGAATGGAAAAAGAAAAAGAAATGAGACACACACACTGACAAGTTTGACAAACAAAATCGGCCCCAACCCCTGTCATTCTTCATACAAGTCCATTTCTGAAATAGAATTATTCTCTCTTCAAAATGTGCTTAAAGGAAAATACAAATTTGCATTTGTTTAGACCTTTTAAATTTTACTTCCAAGCACTGTCCTCTCTTACACCGAAGGGAGAACTAAAGAGAATCTTCTGTACTTCAGCTTCAACAAGGCATATTCATGGCATCTTTCCCAAACTCAAATAGGTGACCTGACCTCAGCAATCACAGAGAGAGGATTAACAGATGTGATAGTTAAGCAGTGATCTTGAGTATCATTTTTCTTCATGCAAATGGACTTATAAAAAAATAAAATAGCAATACATAGTCAACCTCCCAAGCTAAACATTTTAGGAAGTCTTAAGGAAAAACACGGTGATTCTTCTTCCCCTTGTCCACATCCCACCTGAGGCACCCAATGCTGAAGTATTCATTCTTGATTTCCCTATTCTCCCACAGCCATATTTGGACACATATGGGCTTATCTCTCACTTAATTTACCAGGAGCAAAAAACATACACACTTAACTCACATTCATAAAAACTGTGCTAAATAATATTTCCTAGTATGGCTGTACCAAATTTTAAAAAACAAACCTCATTTTGAGGGAAAAAATTTAATTAGCAAACTCCTATTGACACAAATAGAAAAAAAAAAAACTTACTAGAGGATATATTTTGGAGATCAATTTCTACTAATTCTACCTCTAAATTATGTCTTCTACTTTTCTTTATCTCCCCCACCTTCACCATAGGCCAAGCTATCATCATCACTCACTGGGACTATTGCAACAATTTCCTCCTCATCTCTATGTCTCTATTCTTGCCTCTTGCAATCCATTCCTACAGAAGACACAGCACCACCTTCTTAAAACCTTAATCAGATGAAGTCATTCCCCTGTTTAAAAGCTTCTGATCGCTTTTCGTTGATGTGAGAAGAAAATCCAAACTCCCTCCAAAGTTCCTAAAGGTAAAAAGCTTCCACAGTTCTTCACACTGGTCCCTGCCTAAGCCTCCATCCTTAAGACTACCCTCAGGCCCCCTCCCCCACCACCCCGTTTTTGTTGCTATTGTTGTTGTTTTTGCTTTGGGGCCTCTGTAAAGATTTATTTAATTCTTTGCTGCTTTTCCTACTCAAATGTAAGTACCCTGAGAGGGAAGATCTTCTCTCCTTTGCTGCTATATTCTTAGCACCAAGAATAGTGGTTGGTATATAAAATGTGCTCAATAAATATGTCAAATAAATGACATTTCAAGGAGACTGTGTTCCATGTACTTTCTGATTGAGAGTTTGAGTCCCTCTGTTAAGAGAAAAGGAAAAGAACTACTGACTCATAATTAGGTGGCCTGGCTTTACATCCCAACTCTATCTTTTGCTAGTAATTTAATTCTTTAGACTTCAGTTATTATAGTTGGAAAATGTGGAATAATGATAGCTTTCAGATTTATAAAGATCAAGTAAGACTAATGGGTGTAAAGGCCTATTAAAAACTCTAAAATGTTATATAAATGTTACTATTTCAATAAACTGGTACATAAGTAATGAAAATATCAAGAATTGAATTAAATTGGACATTTAAATAATTTAAACAATAATTCCATGCAAAGTATATACATAAACCTCTTACCTTTTTATAACTGGATATTCTCTGACATATGTGCTCAATTTTTTCACTACAAATCGCACTGAATTTACTCTGAAGGTCAGTAGGAATCACTTCATTTAGAGAGTTAAGGCTGGTACAGTTTTGTACAAAATAATCATCACTTTTAGCCAGGGCTTCAAGAATCTGGAGTAACACACACGCACATGGAACAAGAAAAGAAAACCTTCAAAATTAGCCAAATAAAATTTTCACAATTCTAGAACGCAGGGTGACCCTACCCGGCACACTTCCCTGAGCTGCTTGGGATTTCTGTGTTCAGTAAAACCATCCCAGTGAAGTGACGGGCTTCTGTGTTTGGCCTCTCATGCTTTGCCTTCTGCCAGCTGTTAAAGTTTGCCTGAGGAAAGTGAGTGGACTTCAAAGACTCCCTGCTGGATAAGTCAGTATGCTCTGATGTGGTAGCACACTGCCTGTATTTTAGTTGGAGTTACTCAGAACTTTTTTTTTTTCTCAGTTTGGTAGTAGAACAACAAACACTTAAGGAAAACCAACAGAATGGCATCCTTACTTTCTACTGAGAGGCCAGTACAGAGACTGCATATAACGAATGTTTGCTGATGAAATGAATAAATAAGAAATTGTTCGGCTAAAGTAAAATCAATGATAGTTGCAGGGTCTGAGCTCCATCTGATAAAAGCATCCCTATGATTTATTCAATTAATAAATCCCTTTGGCTATTTGAATCAATTGTAAGACAGCACTTGTGTGTATTTGTGTGTGTGCATACTACTGATCGCTGAGAATTTCCAACGAGTTGAGTTAATTACGTGTCATACTGATGACTGTTCAAAGATTGCAAGGACCGGTTACACCCTTACCTGACATTTTTATAATATTGGATGAGGGATACAATATATAGATGCTATGTTTACTTGAGCTCCCTCACCACCTCTACTTCTCTGACTTACAGAATATAAAGTATAAGCTTTTTGTTTAATCGCTTCTCTAGATAGTAGAGTTTGCTTTATCATTAGCCATGTGATCTTGGTTAAATTTCTAATTTCTTTTATTTTCTTTTCTTCATGTGTAAAATAGAAATATTTGCAAGACTTATACAGTTCTCATACACAAAATAACCCATGTAACTTTGAAAATCTGAAATAGCTAGGAAAAGGAGATAAAATGATGCTAATAACCTGGTGCCAACCTTTTACATAGATTGCCTTAGTAATGTAATAATAAGTGGTTGCATTTTGAAAACACAGATTCTATATCAAAAGATATATAGTGGTAGGACATCATCAGAATAATGGAATTTTTTTGAGGTTGACTTTCAGAATATAAAACAAAAACATAAAAGAATTTTTGAAATAGTGCATAGTCTATCTCAACTACTCATATATGAAACAAGGGTTAACATGAAAAAATAAAAGTAGGGAAGCTATATGTCATATTTCTTACTTGGAATACCTGAATCCTCACCAAGTAATAGAAAAGCAGATGAAATACTAGAGCTTGGGCCTGGGGAGGGTCTAATAGGAGCTTTACTGATTTACTTAGGGGAAGGGTCATGAAAAGCAAGCACAGGGTCACCTCTCACAACATTTTATCCATTTGATGAAAACTCCCTTCCTCCCTATCTTGGTTTAGTCTAAAGACTAAGGATGATATCCTTCCCAGCTAAGAATTACATAAATGTCTGAGGGTCTATTCATAAATGGATCTCTACGCCTTGTGAAATTTTATGAAATAAACATGAGACTTGCAGAATTTGAAGTTTCTTATAATACATTTCCAGACTTCAAATACTTTTCAGAGGATTATCTACATTTAAAAAAGCACCACCTGTCACAAAAACCATCTGAAAGGTATTCATGATACTGAATCAACAGATGTAGCAAACTTAACTAAATGCAGAGAAGCCTTTGCCAAATCAACTAACATTTGTCTGGGCAAGAGTCCCATCTAACATCACACTGTACTCCAAAAGAGATCAATAAAAAGGAAGGTTGTACGCATACCGAGTAATGAGGGAAAAAAAGAAAAGAAAGTTGAATGAGCTGACAGCTGAAGCACATACAGCTATTTACACATTTTAAAGTGGAGGTGGGGGTGGTGTCAGGGACTTTATTTAGAACAAAATCCCTTGTTTTCCCGGGATCACTCATACCTTGGCAGTGAGGCTGAAGAAACCTTTGGGCTCAATCATCTTCTCTACCACGTTGCACTTTATCCCAGCTGTGCTGTCGTACTCATACACGACCCCATATTCCAGGTGCACATTGTCTACTGTCAGACTCACGTGCTCCTTCTTCCCATCAATGATGGCCATGGTGTTAAACTTGTCAATTACCTCTGGAACAAAGACACTATGAATTCAGCAAATTCAGGAAGGGTTTGCTAGTCTCTTCAAAGAATTTAAGTCTCTCCGAATAATTTTTAAAGATTTCTTTAAAAGATGGCTATATCTGATGTCTTGTTAACATTTTTTAAAAACAACACTTAAAAAAAATATGTTTGAGTGGTCTGAATCTCACCACTCTAACATGACTAGTCTTTGCACATCCATTTTGATCTATGGACCATATGTATGCCTATTTATACCATTATAAACGTTACACAAACAATTTTTTTTTTATTAGAACGATGTATGACTTAAAGTAGGGCTCCTAAAATTGCCTCAAACATTGAATGAGTATTTGTTCAATGCAGAAAAATATATAAAGCCATTCTGAAGAAGCAGAAAGGAGATCCAATAATAATTTTTTTCAGCAGACAGGATGCATGAATTTTCCCCAGACAGCATCTTCTGCAGATAACTCACTGAGAAAATGTCATTGTTTGCTATAATAACGTTTTCATCTGGGCTATCTTCCTATTGATTTTTGGCCAATGGTCAGTCTGCTGGCATAAAAACACCTAAAATCTGAAGCAAGAAAAACCCCTGAGAAACCTAACAGCAAATATTAAATTAGCAAAAATAGAATATTAGTTAACTAAAAACAATTAAGTCCCAGAATGGCAGACACAGCAAATATAACATAGGAAAAAGCAGAATAATGGTTTATCTTAGAATAATTGAGTCCCAGAATAGCTAGAAATAAATTATCAGAGCATCTCATCAACCTTTTCACTGTGGCACTAATGATGATAAGCAAAAAGAGCTAATTCTAAATGAGGAATAAAGGCCTCAAGACAAGGTCCTGAGATTTGTCCTAGTTTAAATAATTAAGAAAGTTGATATGTCATAACAACCTTGGTGCTCCAGTATGGTTGAAATATTTCTAATATTGCCCACGATCTTAGTGGCTCCTACCCAGTGGCCTTGTAGGAGTGGAGGAAACACAGCTTTTGCTGAGTGCCCCGCCCTTATGATCAGTGTGTATAGGGGATTGTGTAACTGCTGGTCTGGAAGAACCTAGTAGTACAATAAAGATGTCCAGAGTTATCTACCAGTAATGTGAATGGAAAGATACCAGGAAAAGGTAAGCGAAGGTTCAAGGACTTCTGTGGGAAAATGTTGAAACAATAATTCAAGGTATTTGTCCAATGCAAATATAGCTTTAATTGCCTCTCTCCCTTTACTCTTGAGGAAGAGGCCACTAATACAGCAATCTGCTGGTTGCTTCACAGAGGAAACAGAAATGGTATGAGTCCTTATCAAAAGATCTCTCTCTTTCTCTCATTTTTACATTGTCTCTTGCATTACAATTAATGTTAGAATACAGTAAAAGTTACTGGAATCAAGAAAGTATTTTCAAAGGGACTATACACTTTCTTTCTAAACTCAGGCTTCAAATTTTAGTGCACATAGAGATTAGCTCTTGTTAAAATGGAGATTCTGTTTCAATAGGTCTGGGCAGGGGCTGAGATTCTGCATCTCTCCAGGGGATACTGCAGCTGCTGGTCTGTGAACCACATTGGATTAGGAAAGTCTACACAGCATTTAAACTCAAAACAAGGAAGCACATTATAACTTGGGTTTAATCCTCATTCCACCATTTACTGACTTAGGCAAATCCCTTAAGCTAATAAGCTTTAATTTCTTCTTCCATAAAATAAGGATGATGACAATAACACTATGGAGAGATTTCCTTTTTTGATGAGTTTTTACAACAATGGTATGTTAGTGACTAGCTATTCTTACATATGTATTTGACATAACATCTATTTGGTGATAATGATTTAAGAAAGTGGCTTGAACATAGAAGATATTCAATACTTGGGATGAGACACGGGCACACTGAAAAAGAATACTACTATGACAAATGAGAAAAAGAAGGAACCCACCTTCTACTTTGCAGTCAAAAGCATCCCCTACTTCATCTCCAGGAGGTTTGGAGTTAGACTTTTGAAGGTCTTCTTGAGCGCTCTCAATGCTATTATACACCCATTGTATGGAATCTTGCTGGAATGAGGAGGGGGAAAGAAACCTCAGAGGTATTAGTGCTTCTCAAAATGTATATCCATTTCACAAACCCACTTTAGGAGAGTTGATAATCTTATTTATTCTTCTAGTTTATTTAAAGATAATAAAATTTGAAAGAGAAAGAAAATCAACATCAGAAACTAATAAAAAGTCAACAGCAAGTATATTATTTAGCAAATTGATTTTTTTTAGGCTTTAAATTTTATCTTCCAAAGATGTTTCTAAATAGGCTGCATTTCCCAAGTGTCTTACTTAAATGCCTCAAGTAGATCTTAAGTTATAAATTACATTTTTAAATAAATAAATGCCAGATGGACAGTTTTCTGAAGAATCAATCATGTATCACTATACAAACCACTTAAATGCTCTCCTGACACATATATTTAATACAGTTAATGCTTTTTTGAAGCAAACCAATAAGAAAATTGGAAGAACATCTTTCATTTCATTGGGTTCCCAAGTGATGTAACTTTTTTAATCCTTCCATATCATTAATCATCCTATATTTTAATTAAAGTAGCAATTGCATGCTCATCTAAATAAATGAGAAAGAGGAAGTGGCCACCAAGCAAATGTTTTCAGGTCTGCATTATTTACTTTAAAGTTTATACCTTTCCTAGGTCAGATGATGAAACTGAATTGTACTACGTAAGTGTGATATCATTTACATCATCCATTTTTCTCTTGTATTAACTTCACAGTTGTGTTTCATTACTATATTGCCAACCATCATTAAAAGGCTAGTTAACATCGATCATTCAAATACCCCTTGGTAACCTGTTGTGACCCCTAAGGAACCATATGCTCTGGTATCCACACCTCTGTGTAGCTCCTTCTCACACTGAGCCAAGGCTTAGTCAAGGGATCTGATTTTTCCAAAGGGATATTAGCAAGCATGGTTTAAATAGAGTTGATCGCTTTATCCCCTCTTCAAAGGCAGACACCCTGCAGAAAGGACAACTCCCTAGACTGGAAAGGAAGGCCATGGGGAGGAGCTCTGGAGTGAGAGAACACAAGGGGTGGGGGAGATGCAGAGCCCAGACATTCCCAGCAAAACTCTGCCCATCAGCACCTTCATAGGAATCAGCACTCAATCGATCTGCAGATGCAGAATCAAGGGAAATAATCAATCATTGTTTTAAGGCCAGTAAGTTTTGGGACAGTCTGTTTTGTGGCAATGCATATTTGATGGAGCAGGTGACTCACCTAGTGAATTTTTCTAATTATTGCTTTTCTTTAAAAAAAAAAAAACGATTTTTTTTAATTTGGGGAGTAATTTATCAGTTGCCTATAACACCCAAATAAAAATCTTTGTAAGTGTTCTTAAGATTTTATTTATTCATTTGAGAGAGGCAGAGAGAGAGAGAACAGATGGTGGCAGGATTGGGTGTGGGGGAGGCAGAAGGAGAAGCAGACTCCCCGCTATCAGGGAGCCTGATGCAGGACTCAATCTCAGGACCCTGCAATTATGACCTGAGCCAAAGGCAGGTGCTTAACCGACTGAGCCACCAGGCACCCCTATTTATTGCTTTTCTTAATCATTTCACTAAGCACCTCCTCTCTAAGAAGGCAGTCAAGGAAAATGAAAAGGAACCAAACTCAAATCACTTTGGTCACTTATCAAAATTCGGATTGAAGGGGAAAGTTTTGATAATTTCAAAAGTGTCTTTTTAAAAAATTCACTCAATAATACAGTTCAATAAATATTTATTAAACAATTATCAACTATACTCTGGTTTCTCTTTAGATTGCATAAATCTTTCGCCTTTTACCATTATCAACCAGAATAACTATGAGTCTATGCATGAATTCCAATTTGCTTTGCTACTTTGACCTTATTAATAAGCAAAATTGATGAGCTATTTTCTTATAGGTTCAGTATTTTATAGGATGTCAGTCCTGGCCTATGAGAAAATAACCACTCCACTCCTCTCTCTGGTTTGGACATAAAGTCATATTCTCAAATCCAGAAGAGTACTTGGCTATGCATGAAGGAAAAAATACAAAGCCTCTCCTCTAAAGTTCCTTTTACATTTAGTTGATTAATTTGAAAGAATTTTCTCTTACAGCCCAATATGCACTTGTACCTCATGGGATAAGCTTTGCTTATAAATTAGCACTCTAATTTTATTTTTCTACAGCTCTTGAAATTTAATCAGAGGATAATGCTTAGAATTTTAAGTAATAAGTACACTTTGGTATTTTCTTTTATGAGCTAAATCCAGTTAAATAAATATATCCAAAACTTAATCACAGACCCTATAAAACCCACACAGATGTACAGTGACCATTATATATCCTAAAGCATTCGCAAGGGTCAAGAAAACAATTCAAACCTTTGGATTTCAATTTGATAAACAGTTAGGTCTTTGAAAACTCCTATCACAATGCAAATGAAAATACCCCAGAGCACTTTTAAAACGATGATTAATACTGCTAACAATAAGATGCAATCATTTAAGCATAATTGATTATAAATAATTATGCAGATAAAACAATCATCAAGAGATTTACAATGCTGTGCTTAAATGTGAACCTAAAGGTAGAAAACACAGACATCTCTGGCACTATCTTGTGTTGACCTCTCGGCTTTCTATGCAAGTTTGCAATGAGATCCAGGTACACTGCAGAGCAATTTACCTTCATTGGTCTTCTGTATTTCCTGCAGGCTGTAACGTGTGCAATAACACTGGCATGGGTCTCTTTGCTGACATTGATTCCATTTACTTTGATAATACACTGTCCAGGGTGAAGACCAGCTGCTGCAGCGACAGTTCCTTCAAATACAAATGAGAAAATTGCCAAAAATTTGAGGAATGAGATTCCTTTTTATCACATAGGCAACAGGGAAAGCAATTTTAAAATATAATAGAGATCTAGCTAGTAAGTTCTTGATAAATTTGGTTCTGATAGCAATGCCCTCTCAACATTTTTCTACTTTTCATCTGGCCATTCAAACTGTGATTAACAGAATATTCTCCCATCTCTTTGAGAATGAATTTGAAGGGATATTGTAAAGTGAACTTTATAATGCTCATCAGTTATTTTCCCTCTCAACTGTCTAGTCAGTCTTAATTTTCTGCATATGCATACATAATGGCAAAATGGAAAGCCAGAAATGTATGCCTTATTTATCTTTCTTTAGTCTATGAAATATCTAAATATTAAAATAGTATTCACTTTCATTTGTTTTTCTTAGTAACTGTTATTGCAAGGACATTTTTGAAATTTACAATAGCTTGTAAATTTCAGTCTTACTTCTTTTTATTTTTTAAATTAAAGTATAATTATATACTTTATAGTATATAGTATATATATACTATATAGGCATTATAGTAGTTTCATGTGTACAATATAATGATTCATCAATTTTATAATCACTTTCATTTTTTAAAATGCAAACAGAAGAAATTCTTAAGAAAAAAAATCAAGTCAATTAGCAACTACAAGTAGATTGGATTTGCTAAGTAAAATAAGCATTCAGGATATCCACAAAGGGTCAGAAACCACAGAATTGGTGGAGAATAAAATGAATCAGATGACAGCAACTGTCCATCATTCATTTGCACAGATATAGACTTAAATAAGCAAGTGAAATATCCAGTGAGTTAAGATCTTCAGAAACTTTCAAATCATTATTATTTGATATTCTGAGCAAGTCAACATTTATATAGCACCATTAATAAATACAATGAATATAATTAATATAAGTGATTATAAAACTTATGTTACAAGAGCCTTCTCTTGTAAGCAATTTCTCTTATGAAAGAATTATTAAATATCTTAGAGAACATAATTTACATCCAAGAAGACTATATATATATATATATATATACATATATATATATATATATTTTTTTTTTTTTTTTTTCCTCACTAAAATTCACTCCCAGAAATTCCAAGTGGTTTTTCCGGATTGAAGTAGGTATTGGAGGGAAATGGGACATTCCCCATAGAAAGAATAGCCTGAAAAAAGGCACTGAGTCAAGAAATAACCTGGACATTTGGGAGCACGTGAGCAGTTGGTGAGAGCTTAAAATGGGAGTGGTGAGTGAAGACCCTGGAGAGCCAAGCAGAGCCAGGTTGTGAAGTCCTTGCCTACTCCATGTGAAGTCCTAAGACCTTAACCTTACTATAGATGCAAGAGGAAAAGCATTGAAGAATTTTAAGCACAAGTGAGATGACCGTCCCCCCACACCCAAACAGGGAATGTATCATTTGAGTTTAAGTAAAAAATCAAAATCACAACACACATCTACTGCAATCGAGATCGAGTATTTGATATTTGATGACAGAGTTTGTGAAGAGGCTACAGTCCCCAGGATGACACCTCTACCTTTGGGCTCGGTGGCTGAGTAGATAGTCATTCAAATAAAGAGAATACAAAAGGCAAAGCAAGTTCAGAGAATGGATGGGAAGTTCAGTTAGAGAGAATGCTGAGGTCTGAGGTGGAGACAGAGATTTAAACATCTCCAGCAAGAAAATCAACAAGATTTCTTACAGAGAACAAGGAGGCAGAGAAGAAAAAGGGAGCCAACAATAGATGAAGGGATCTGCCAGAGGACAGGTAGGAGAAACATATGAAAAGCATCATCTCAAAATCAAGAGATGAATGTTTTCCGCAAACAGGAGTAGTCGGTTTAATCAAATGCCACTGAAAATTCAAATTAATACAAATGTTATCAATGTCCATAGTATTTTTCAGTCAAGGCTGTGATAACTCTTGTAAGACAGACTTTGGAGACATGGATGGGGAGAGATGGGGATGGATGTCTATAGTACTGTCCTAAAACTCAAACAGGAAGAGAAAAAGGGCAGCTGAAAATACAGACAGCATTTCAGGAAGTTTGGTCATGACAAAAAAAAGTTAGTAGAGCATTATTCTAGAGCTGAGCTTATCAATCTTGGATGTGCATACAGATCATCTGAGGATCTCATTAAAATGTAGATTCTGGCTCAGTACATCCTGAGTGGGTCCTAAGATTCTGCATTTCTAACTGGTCCCAGGCAATGCCAATGCCTTGTGGATCTAAATGGGAAAAGAAGGAAAAGGGACAAGTTCTGTGTTTGCTGTTCTAGTTTAAGATCATTTTGTTTCTTTGTTTAGTTTAGTGGGAAAGAATTGAGCATGCTCACAGCCTGTACTAGAATAATCCAAGAAAAAAGGCTGAAATTCTGGAAGGGGATACCGGACAGCATGACACCCCAGAGAAGGCATAAGATCTAGAACACTTATTGAGAAATTCACCTTGAACTCTAAAAAGAAAAAGAAAAAAAGAAAAGCAAAAAACTCTTCATCTAGGGTGGGAGGAAACTGGTGATGGTGGTAGATCCAGCAAAAGGTGTGGGTGTACAGAAAAAAGTGTGGGGCTCTGAGGGTTTTATACTTAGGACCCTGAATTTGTCTGTGGGGTGAAAAAGGAAGTTCATCTTGAGAGACAGGAGAGAATTATGAGGAGAGAAAGAGGGAGGTGATGAGAGACATGAAAAGATTGCTGAATAGTAAGACAGGCCCAGTAAAAGATGGCAAACTGGGATAATGCTAATTCCACATTCATGATGGTTTTTTTCCCACTCAGGAGAAAAAGCCAATAGGATGATTAAGTTCATCCAAGGCTAAAGAGGTGATTTAGTGCATCTGAAGAATAAGGACAAGAGGACCCTGGTGATGCTAGCAAGAATGACTGAGATGACATGCCATGGGATACAGCTGGCTAAAGAAGGGAGGCTTTAGGGGGAAAAGGAGAAGGATCCAGAGTCTGGAAGTCCCAAATGAATTAAAAACAAAACAAAACAAAATAAAATAAAAAATAAGCTGAGAATACCAGTGATGAGATTGCAATAAGAAATTGGCATATTGGAATTTTAGATTTCAAAGGTAAAATTTCAGTTATAGATATACTCTAGTATGTGGACATGGGAAGGGACTGAAGAAGAAAAAGGGAAATAGCAAAATTACAGTGCAAAAAGAAACCACTGAATAGTATCTTTCCCTTTAATATGCATCTGAAAGGAAAAGCACATAAGTATTTCTTTTACTCTTCAGAAGCAAAGAGCATAGGAACCAGATTTGGGCGTACTCTACAACTACTTACCAAAGAATGAATCAGGCTCTTTAAATGACACCGTAATAAGTACAGAAGCACACCATAATTCAATCAGGTTTTCAGTTATTTTATAGTACTGATAATGTGACTTACTCTTTTTTGTTCAGTGAAAATGAAGATCTTGGAAGTACCGACTATCCCCTTTGAGTATTAAATATATCCCATTTCAGTTATATAATAAGTTGTTGGAAATGTTTTAAATGTCTATTAGTCTATATGTTTTAAACACCTGAGTGAAAAGACAGGTTTTTGAAATAAGATTCATTTTTGTCATATATACACTAACAAAGGCAATTTTATAATCTAATAAAGGTCTAGCTCATATGTTCTTGGTCAATTTGATTCTGATAGCAATGCCCTCTCCAAATTTTCCAGACTTATATTTGGGTGATCACATGAAGATACTTTACATTTTATGTTTTTTGGTAATGAAAAGCATGTATGTCTCTGGTTAAGATGAACACATGGCTTCTTTGATTATAATGACATTTCTTTCTATAGCAGCAAGTTATACACTATGTGGGCTCTAAAAGTCATTCCCTTAAATCATTACTAGTGTTAATATACTATAAAATTTAAAATACATATAAAAAGAGATATCAATGGTTTATTCACCTATCAAACAAAAAAGAATAAAATATAAACATATTATTTAAAATACATAGAAAAAAGAGATATCAATGGTTTATTTACCTATCAAACAAAAAAGAATAAAATATAAACATGTTATTATTTAATATAAAATGCATTTTATGGTTTAAGAAATGTTATTTATAGAAACACCTGAAGTAATCTTAGAGCAACAGGTTATTAAGCACACAGATCATTCTTAAACCTGAAAACTTACATCTTTGAGTTATTGACAAAAATACAGCTATTTGCCACCAGAGAAAAATACAAATAGACAACCTTAAAATCGTTATACCCTTTGGCTAAAGTGAAACATGCAGAAAAGTGAGATTGGCAGGCATCATTCCTTCATCAGTTATTGTTATTCTATTTCATTTTTTTCAGTGTTCCAAAATTCATTGTTTATGCACCACATCCAGTGCAATACATGCAATACATGCCCTCCATAATACCCACCACCAGGCTCACCCAACCCCCCAACTCCTTCCCCTCCAAAACCCTCAGTTTGTTTCTCAGAGTCCACAGTCTCTCATGGTTTGTCTCCCCCTCTGATTTCCCCCAACTCACTTCTCCTCTCCAATTTCCAATGTCCTCTGTGTTATTCCTTATACTGCACAAGTAAGCGAAACCATATGATAATTAACTCTCTCTGCTTGACTTATTTCACTCAGCATAATTTCTTCCAGTCCCATCCATATTGGTACAAAAGTTGGGTCTTCATGCTTTCTGATGGAGGCATAATACTCCATTGTATATATGGACCATATCTTCTTTATCCATTTGTCCTTTGAAGGGCATCTTTGTTCTTTCCACAGTTTGGCAACTGTGGCCATTGCTGCTATGAACATTGGGGTAGAGATGGCCCTTCTTTTCGCTACATCTGTATCTTTGGGGGAAATACCCAGTAGTGCAATTGCAGGGTCATAGGGTAGCTCTATGTTTAATTTTTTGAGGAATCTCCACACTGTTTTCCAAAGTGGCTGCACCAACTTGCATTCCCACTAACAGTGTAAGAGGGTTCCCCTTTCTCCACATCCTCTGCAACACATGTTGTTTACTGTCCTGTTGATTTTGGTCATTCTAATTGGTGTGTCAATGTGGTTTTGATTTGAATCTCCCTAATGGCCAATGATGAACATTTTTTCATATGTCTGTTAGCCATTTGTATGTCTTCTTTGGAGAAGTGTCTGTTCATGTCATCTGCCCATTTTTTGACATGATTATCTATTTTGCATGTCTTGAGTGTGAGGAGTTCTTTATAGATCTTGGATATCAGCCCTCTTTGTCTGTAGTATCATTTGCAAGTATCTTCTCCCATTCCGTGGGTTGCCTCTTTGTTTTGTTGACTGTTTCCTCTGCTGTGCAGAAGCTTTTGACCTTAATGAAGTCCCAAAAGTTCATTTTCGCTTTTGTTTCCTTTGCCTTTGGAGACATATCTTGAAAGAAGTTGCTGTGGCCGATGTAGAAGAGATTACTGCCTATGTTATCCTCTAGGATTTTGAGAGATTCCAGCCTCATGTTGAGGTCTTTCACCCATTTTGAGTTTATCTTTGTGTATGGTATAAAAGAATGGTCAAATTTCATTCTTTTACACACAGCTATCCAATTTTCCCAGCACCATTTATTGAAGAGACTTTTTTTCCACTGTATATTTTTTTCCTGCTTTGTCGAAGATTATTTGACCAAGACTTGAGGGTCCATATCTGGGCTCTCTACTCTGTTCCACTGGTCCATATGTCTGTTTTTGTGCCAGTACCATGCTGTCTTGGTGATCACAGCTTTGTAGTCAAGCTTGAAATCAGGCAACGTGATGCCACCAGTTTTGTTTTTCTTTTTCAACATTTCCTTAGCAATTCGGGTCTCTTCTGGTCCCATACAAATTTTAGGACTGTTTGTTGCAGCTCTTTGAAAAGTGGAATTTTGATCAGGATTGGCAATGAATGTATAGATGGCTCTAGGCAGTATAGACATTTTAACAATGTTTATTCTTCCAATCCATGAGCATGGAATGCTCTTCCATCTTTTTGTGTCTTCTTCAATTTCTTTCATGAATGTTCTGTAGTTCCTTGAGTACAGATCCTTTACCTCTTTGGTTAGGTTTATTCCCAGGTATCTTATGGTTCTTGGTGCTATAGTAAATGGAATCAATTCTCTAATTTCCCTTTCTTTTTTTTCATGGGATGCAAGAGTGGTTCAACATTCGTAAATCAATCAATGTGACAGAATAATCAATAAGAGAAGAGAGAAGAATCACATGGTCCTCGTAATTGATGCAGAAAAAGCATGTGAAAAGATACAGCATCTGTTCCTGATTAAAATGATTCAAAGTATAGGAATATTTTTGAGGGAACATTCCTCAACTTCATAAAATTTATCTATGAAAAACCCACAGTGAATATCATCCTCAATGGGGAAAAGCTGACAGCCTTCCCTTTGAGATCAAGAACATGACAAGGATGTCCACTCTCGCCAACTGCTGTTCAACATAGTACTAGAAGTCCTAGCAACAGCAGACAACAAAAGAAATAAAAGATATTCATATTGGCAAAGAAGAAGTCAAACTCTCTCTCTTCGCAGATAACATAATACTTTATATGGAGAACCCAAAAGACTCCACCCCCAAACTACTAGAACTCATACAGCAATTCAGTAATGTGGCAGGATACAAAATCAATGTACAGAAATCAGTTGCTTTCTTATACTCTCATCAGTTTTTTAAAATTTCTTATTTAAATTCAACTTAATTAACATATAGTATATCATTTGTTTCAGAGGTAGAAGTTAGTAACTCATCAGTTGCGTATAATGTCCATTTCTCATCACATCATGTGCCCTCCTTAATGCCCATCGCCCACTTACCCCATTTCTCCACTCACCTCCTATAGCTCCAGCAACCCTCGATTTTTTTTCTTTAGAGTTAAAAGTCTCTTATGGTTTGTCTTCCTGTTTTCATCCTATTTTATTTTTCCTTCCCTTCTCCTATGTTCATCTGTTTTGTTTCTTAAATTCCACATATGAGTGAAATTATATGGTATTTATCGTTCTCGACTTATTTTGCGTAGCATAATATGCTCTAGTTCCATTCATATCATCAGTTTTTAACAGTGATAAATATGCCTTACAATTTTTAAGAGTTTTTATTTTTTTAAAGATTTTATTTATTTATTTATTTGAGAGAATGAGTGGGGTGGGGGGTGGAGAGGTCAGAGGGAAAAGCAGACTCCTCTGCTTAAGCAGGAAGCCCAATTCAGGACTCGATTCTGGGACTCCAGGATCATGATCTGAGCCAAAGGTAGCTGCTTAATCAAATGAGCCACCTGGTGCCCCGTGAGTATTTTTAGGAATGTACTGCCATTGAGCCAATAAAGTAAAAATACTTTTGAGAAAATACATGACAACATGACCATGAACATTTTGAACATATTCTTATTCAGCAAGCAATATCCAAATATGCTGAAAAGCTGTTTGCCATGCAGGATGAATTCCTCACCTCTTCCTACTGCGTGGACAACCGATGGGCCATATCCTCGTATCTGGAATCCAAGTCCCTCAGCTGAATCTGGGATTTTCACTGTCCTAAAATCAGTCAGAAAACAGGGTAAGATGACGTTAAAATGCCACAGTTGGTTAATACAATAATGTCCACTTTTATTCATTCTTTTAATAAATGTGTTGAGAGTCTACTGTATAAAAGACACTGACTGAGCTAGAAACAGGAAACAAATAGGGTGCATGCCCTCACATAGGCACCCAGTAGACCTGCATGACAGACTTCCTCAATGGAGCACGGCTAGTGCACGGTATATGCTGAATAAGGAACAGGCTCCAGGATCAGGAAAAACTAGCTCTGAATAATCATTTAGTCACTTCATAGTTGAATAACTTCCATGTACTCCTTAATTTCTCTGAGCTTGACTTTCCACAGAAAGTTAAAACTTACTTTGCAGGGTGTCAGTGGAGATTAAAAAAGGAATCTTTGGTCAACTGCCCTACATCATGCTATGAATTATGTAAGCACTTCAATAAAATGGAAGCTTCTCTCCTTAGTTGATTTTTTAAAATTAATTTATTTATGTTAAAGAGAGAGAGAAAAAGTGTGAGTGCATGAGCAGGGAGGGAGAAGGAGAGAACCCTCAAGCAGACTCCCTGTTGAGCTTGGAGCCAGACTCAGACTCAGCGCTACATCTCACAACCTGAGTTTATGACCTAAGCCAAAATCAAAAGCTGACCACTTAACGGACTGAGACACTCAGGCACCCAACTCCTTAATTCACTGTTGCAAAGAAGACAGCGCACTGTGAAATTTCTTTGTGAAAACTAATAAAAGAAACATAGAGTTAATACATCCTAGCTGTTGGGAACTTCATCAAAGAACAACAACAAAAAGCTAGTAATAAAGAACAGATCTGTCAAACACTACACCAAAATAATTAAAGAATGTGATTAACTTCAGTATTTATTCAGTGAAATTTTGAAAGAATAATACATCAAGGGGCGCCTGGGTGGCTCAGTCGTTAAACATTTGCCTTCGGCTCAGGTCATGATCCTAAGGTCCTGGAATCGAGTCCTTTGTTGGGCTCCCCGCTCAGCAGGAATCCTGCTTCTCCCTCTCAGTCCCCCTGCTTGTGTTCCCTCTCTTGCTGTATCTCTCTCTGTCAAATAAATAAATAAATTGGAAGGGGAGGTGAACCATGAGAGACTATGGACTCTGAAAAACAATCTGAGGGGTTTGAAGGGGCAGGGAGTGGGAGGTTGGGGTAACCAGGTTGTGGGTATTAGAGAGGGCACAGATTGCATGGAGCACTGGGTGTGGTGCAAAAACAATGAATACTGTTATGCTGAAAATTAAAAAAAAAAAAGCTTTGAAATGCAAACCTAAAATAAATAAATAAATAAATAAAATATTTTTTAAAAAAAGAAAAAAAGAATACTACATCAAAAGGGAAAACATGAATAAGAAAAGAAATATTTTCAATGAAGCCATGCGGAAAAGAAGCTGAAGGAAAGGAAAGCCTGTGTAAGCTGCTGCTATGACAGACCCGTGAGGGATGTCCAGTTTAGCACTGATAAGTGAGCCACTCCTAGAAGGAAGCCGGGGATCAGAGAGCAACAATGAAAAGCAGAGAACATGAGATAAGGCGGAACATCATAACTATAAAAATGAGTATCATAAATTGCAGTACAGAACAAAGACAAACGAATACAATGCAATAAATTTTGATGGATAGCCCTAGATGCCCAAGAAACAAAAGTGTTCTCCAAAAGATGATGAATTAATCATGAAGTAAATGTCAGCGGCACTTCAAGGGCACATTAGACAGAGTCTGAAGTTAGGTACAGCAGCACGCACTTACAGTTTATTAAAAAAGCTGCTAGAACAATTTGAGCAACGCTGTACCTAGAACCCTTGAGAAAGCCCTATACAGCATTAGTGTCTGATGGCAGACGGCTGGTCCTGTGATCTGGAATATACATGAGGCAGGCATTCCAGCATTTGGTGCCTGAAATATGAATTATTTGTTTTAGGGAAACTTGAAAGCCATATTATGAATTAGGTTACACACCATAGGCTATACACTATAAAGTGATCTAAATATTGGTGGAGTAGAGGTCACAGGACAAATTTATCTGTTATCCTTAATTATATACTTTTTGGTGTATAAGGCTGTATTTGTTTCCTTTGAATAGCACCTTGTTATTACTATCTGTCAAAAAAAAAAAAATACCTGAAAATGGAAGATAACTAAGGGAAAGAAAAAGGGAATAATAAATGCATTTTCTGAGCATGAACCAAAAAAATAGAAGTAGCTCATGCTTCTATGTATTACAAATGAGAGTTCACTTTTGTTGAAATAACTTCAAGCTTTTAGGCCATGGTGAGCCACTGTTGCTTTTGTAGATTGTGAGGAATTCATAGCAGCCTTCTTGGTTCTTTCTGAGCAAGGTCTTCTGTCCTTCTAATATTGCTAGGGAAGGCTGACCTTACTCTAATCTTCAAGAAGATTATTACAGATTTCTTTAAAAATTAAGTACAAACACCATGAGGTGCATTTTGGTCATAATACTGGGGCCCTCTTCGTCAAATGATCTTTGGAAAACATGTTTCCCTGCTGGGACCACTATATTATCTATTAAACGAAGAATTAAAATTATACAAAAGGAACGTTTTCATAGAATGTAAGTGCACTAAATAATCTGCTACAAAGCCTTTTGAAAAATTCTTTGATGCTATCAAGTGTAAAATACCACTAGATTCAAAAGAAAACTTCTATTGGATTAACTTCTCATATTTCTGCTTTCCTCCTTAACCCCAGACAAGACAATACATCAAGTATAAGTGGGTACTGTAAGAAAATATGAAAGAATGATTTATAGGAATCATACATTAGAATAAGGACATAAAGGAAAGGCTATAAATTTCAAGCAAATTAAAAGTAAAAGATGAGGGGGCGCCTGGGTGGCTCAGTGGGTTAAAGCCTCTGCCTTCAGCTCAGGTCATGGTCTCAGGGTCCTGGGATTGAGCCCCGCATCGGGCTCGCTGCTCAGTGGGGAGCCTGCTTCCTCCTCTCTCCCTGCCTGCCTCTCTACCTACTTGTGATCTCTGCCTATCAAATAAATAAAATCTTTAAAAAATATATTAAAAAAATAAATAAAAGTAAAAGATGAAAAATGAGTATCTATCCTCAAAACTGCTTTGAAATACAATATAAAATGTTTCTGATATAATAAAGAAGCAATGAAAAATTGAAATAAGAGAAAAGACAAGTATCACAGAAAACATCACTAGAGCACATACTATGTGCTGAACAAGTCACTAAGTTCTTTACAAACCTAAATTTATTTAATGTTCTTAGCAGCTCCACAACACAGACACTCATCATCTCCATTTTTTTATGGATGAAGATGTTGAAGCAATACAATTAGCAAGCAAGCAGTGGAACAGAAGCTTGAACCTGAACAGGAAATAGGGGGTTCCAGATACTGTGTGACAAACACTGCAGGAAGAGTCAGGAGACACAGGTTCTAATGCTGTTCGTCTAGCAGTTAGTTTCTGGACTGAAGATTTGCCCCTATCTATTTAGTTTTAACGTTGAGGACTTCAGAATGATCCAACTGTTGAAATGTCTATGATCAGTGAATCAGTAGTTGTAGGGTTAAATCAGGGGCAATAGGGCCAAGGGGAGGACATTTTTGTTTACTAATGATTGATTTGGGCTATGACCCCCTTATTCCTTTCCAGTCTGTCCTTTTCCTTTTAAGTGTCCTCAAAGTGACCAGAGGTAGGCATCTAGGTAAGCCTTACCCTACTTAGGGTTGGGTTAATAGGGAGTAATAGATGAACAATAGGTTTAGAGAGAAGACACAGTTATGGCTACTCTCTGCCCTCTAGACCAAAGTCTTCCTAAATGAGTAATTTTAATGAGTCACACTCACTCTTTCCCTGGTACATTTTAACATCGACCTTGATAACTTAATGCCATAGAATCTAGCTCATTACATTGCATGCTTGCTTCGACAGCACATATATTCTGGCTTATTACGTTGCATTTCAACTCCTAAGTTAAAGAGTGCACCTAGTTATTGCTGAATATATATATTAAGGCAGGGAAGAATACTATGCATATATACTGAGAATATTTTCCTAAGTAGTTAAAATAAACCTTTTGTTTTTAAGTGGTAACCTTCATTTACCTTAAAATGAATAAAGTTGCTTATTACAATTAAGAAATGATAAAATTAAATTTTAAACAGCAATTTTGATATAATCATAGTACATTAAAACATTACATGAAGTACTTCACATAAATTATACTAATTAACTTATTGGTTAAACAAATCATGGAAATGTGACACAGAAACACTAGACCATCAATGATTTGCAGAAGAAAAGCCAATGTCTACCAAGTATATCCAAAATCTCCTATTAATTAAAAAAACAGATTATAATGCATGATCCCATTTTATAAATACATGGTTGTGTAAATCTGTATCAGCACTTCAAAAAATGAACTATCACTGAATTTTGGAAAAGTAATGGCTATTTATGGATGATATAATTATAAGAAACACATCTTCATTTAGAAAACCTATACTCTCTGAATTGGCTATAATAAACATGAGGTTTTTTCCTTAATCATAGGTAGGTAGATAACTAGGCATTTTTTTTAAAAGAACTGACATATCACTAAGTACGAGCAAGCATGCAGTGTATTTCACATAATTGTGCTCCCATTTCTTATAAGCATTTAATTATAAACCTAATATCTGACCAAATCATAGACCTGAAATTCTTAGAGCTGAACATGGGGAATACAGTTCCTTATTATCAAGTGTTCTACCAGTTTTCTTCACTTATAATCAGACTCAACCTAACCCAGACCAGGAAAATTTGGGCAGCAAGGAGGAAGTATTATTTCTGCTGAAACTACCTGATTTGAGGAGCAAGAATTAGCAGCATGAGCAATGTAGTTTTTTTCCCATCATTAAAGACCAGTATTAGTGATTTTGGTAAGGTTTAAATGTCCCAAGCAATGAGATATTTAATTCTAGACATGTACTTAGTTAACTTTTCTATTTTATTCACCTATGTTTGATTTTTAAAATCCCACATAAAATACAACTTACTCCCTTGGCTTTGTGCTCACAAGAACTCTTAGAGGCTTTCTGCTGTTTAAGCATGATTTCAGGAAGCAATCCACTTCATTGAAAGGTCTCATAAAAACTAGGTCACCATTAATAGCAAAAATCTTTTTCCCAACTTCCATGCCAGCCATCTAAGAGAGTAATAGGGGGAAAAAATCAAATTATATTTTAATAAGGAATCTATTTTTTTTCACAGAATTAGAAGAATGAAAAGACCTAGAACTTACAGATTTTTACATTTCAAAACATCTGCAATATTTTTTATATAATTTCACACAATAGAACTGTGGCGGAGATAACACAGTTATTCTCTTTGACCTAGTTTTAAATCTGATCACCCATTGCACTGAATTTCCCTGCCCCTTCTTTTATGACTTAATTTTGTACTCCTCCTGTGGCCCTGTTTTTGATTGAATCTTATAGTTCTTTTTCTTATTTCATCCTTTAAACTACAGTCAAACACCATATTAATTTTTTTTACTGTTTTCCATTTATACCCAATTAATTCAGAGAGATTCAACCTCTCTATAGCCAACAATGACAACCGAATATGCATTGCTAACGTGACACAGCATAAACATCTCCAGGGCAGGAGACAGGAATGGCCTGGAACCCAAGGAAAAGAGCTCCAAAAAAGCACAGATTATCAGGGGCTGAAAAGATTGCAAAGAAGACATTATCTCTCCATACCAACCAGGCCACCAATCTTAACCAATCCCACTGCCTCTGAACTACATGCTGTTTTGGTTACCAGAGAAATGATGAAAACCTAGGAGAGGGCACTTCATCAGTGACATAGTCAGATGAAGCTATGCTCTAAGAACCCCCACAGAAAATGTCTGGGAGAAACATTTCCTTCTTGCAGAAAATTACTAAAATTAGTCATTAGTTGGCCCAGCCCACTAACAAAGTATGAGGTGACCAGAGTTACTTCATTTGAAATTAATGTGCTGTACCTAAAACACTGTCTTGCATGAGTTTGTGTTTTGGTAAAAGATGGAGACCTTAGATATTAGCAGATAGGAGGGTGGATGGAAGTTTGCTACTAACTTTAAATAGGTTCAAAGCAAAAAGTCATACTTTACTTATTCTCACAGTCTTCATTTAAGATTTCTATATTTAGAAGTTTGATTGAGGATTAAGGCATGTTTACAAGCCAGGTAGCAAGGTGAGAATACTTTAAATCTCACATATTTGGGATATAACTCTCCCAGTAGGTTCCATGAGAACAGGAGACTTTGTCTCTTTTGTTCATTGCTGTATTCCCAGAACCTAGAACACTGCCTGGCATATAATAGGTACTAAGTAAATAATTCTGAATGAATGATCAGGAGATTCCTTTGTTTAAAAAACTACTGAGGTGAGAGAACATTAATCAGCATTAACCTAATGAGAAAGTAAGTCAAAGCATGCACTTTACTGATTATATAAAATATAAATAAGTAAAATAGAAAAAAATTATATTTTTATAAGACAGTCAAAAGTGATAGGAAAATAAAAGACATAGACTTTGATTTAATAGAACAGTTATCTGACATAGAAAATGTAGTCCCACTATACACAGTCTCCACAGGGTTCCAGACTAGAATGATGATGAACAAGGAAGTCTCAGGGACATGGAATGAGCCATGTGACCTCCCAGGAGGTCAAGAAGTTCCCAACTATAGATCTTTACACTACCTCCCTCCAACTATCTTTGAGTACATGAACTCTGTCACAAATTCCAATAGTGGAGTAGGAACTCAGAATAAGATTATTCAGAAACACTATTTTCAATAGAGATACTTAAAAGCTGATTTCAATTTGTTTAGAACTTTTATATTTGTATGTTATGGACAACAAATTTAAATAAAATGCTAATTTACATTACCTCAGCATTAGACCCCTTTTCTACCAACTTTATTATTGGAACTTTATTTTTGTCTTCTAACCCAAAACCATAGCTGCCTTCATTGGATTTAATCTGAAATGTAAAATATTAATGTTACTAATAAAGAAACTATGAAAAAAGGTACATATCAAACAGAATAAATGAAGAAAACTTATATAACATATTGATGATCTTACCAATAGTGATTTGGCTATAACATTTTCCACAACTTTTAAATCATGTTTCATAAGTCGATGCTTCATATTTGATCCTTCCATTTCCTCATCCGCAAAAAAACGGAAAAGTAGGGGTTCATCTTTGAATTCACTTTTTTCAAGAACTACAAGAACAGAGATCCAAATTGTTCCAATTAATCCAAAAACTGAAACCATTTTCCATACTAATAGACATTAAAAAACTAATACCTGTCCTATAATACTCTTAGAAGAAGTTTCATTCACAAATATCCCTATGATATTATTCTATTTCTTTCAACAGCTTCAAGCTGATGTTTCCTTTAAATTACTATTAAGTAAAGAATTTTGAATTTTTAAGTATTTTTTCAATGTTAACTTTTTTGTACTCACCCAAATTTAATAAAAGATTATACTGAATCCAAAAAATGTATGTAATCCAAAACATAGAAGCCTACATTGTTTTGAATTTGTAGTAAACATTTGAAGTGTGTTTTTAATATCCTGAACAATTATGGGAAAATTCAAATGGGTAAGTGTTGCTCTTATGTGTGTGAGCAATTCCCATGGTGGTTACTTGTGTTCTAACCCTTCAAACCAGAAATATATCATCTGTGTGAAATGTGATTTTAGTTTCCACTAATTCTTCGGGTTGGTTTTTTTTTTTTTCTGTTTAAAAACATTATTCTCAAATAATCTTATTTCAATAAAGGTAATTTTCCCCTATTATCTGAATATTAATATTTTTGCCCAAAGTCCCAAAGATTAACCTTTTTAAAAATAAAGCTAAATACTGATAGAGAGAATTTATATTCAGTGAGATCCTGACAGCAGTCAAAATATTTTAAAAGAGAAATCTTCTCTTATTCCTATTTATGTATCCTTGGTAGGTTGAAGCGTACTTGTTGGAACAGGGTGATTCATGGAGCAGGGTAGCTAAAGGGAAGACACTTTTCCCATGGCGCTGTACAAGGTCTGGCTTTATGATGAGACAGACCTCCAGGTGTGGGGTTGATTCTGGGTGTGACTTTGGGAAAGTTACTTAAACTCTTTGAACTGTAGTTTCCTCATCAGAAAATGGGGGCAATAAAATCTTCTTCATAACATACAGAACTAAAAATGAGGTAATATATATGATTAATTTGGCATATAGAAACCAATACAAAACTATTTTAGTTCATTATTTTTACAGAGTTCCAAATAATAACTGCTGACCAGATGATACATGTATTGTTCTTTGCATGGAAGACTGACCAGCAACTTGGGTTAACAAATGAAACTATCAAGCACAAATTAAAAAGTAACATGTTACAGTTGACAATAGAAATGAGAATATATTTGAGATCAAGTTAGGTCTTACCTACATGACCCAAGCACTTCCCCCAAACTTGTATGGTGTTTTGCTACCGCTATTTTCCTCCAAAAAATAGTCTGCTTAACCAGAGTGAGAAGGACATCAATACGGCCAGGGAGGGGCCAAACTGGATGTGCTCAGACTTTTTCTAACTTACACTTTTGTAGGGAAAACTTTTGTTGTTAACTCAATATTTTTAACTCAATACTTAATTTTTTGTTATTTTATTTATTTATTTATTTATTCATTCATATTTTTGAGAGAGAGAGAGAAAGCATGTACATATGACTACAAGCATGAGAGGGGCAGACAGAAAGACTCTCAAGCAGGCTCCACATTGAGCATGAGCCCAATGTAGGGTTGATTTCATGATCCTGAGATCATGACTTGAACCCAAATCAAGAGTTGGCTGCTTATATGACTAAGCCTTCCAGGCACCCCAAATCAGTATTTTAACATAAATATTTAGATAAAATGGCTGCTTATTGATGCTTTAAAAAGAAAAAAAAAAACAACAAAATATTTGAAGGTTTTCAGCCTTATAGTTTTAATTGCCTATAATAATATTGTTTCTCCCATTCAATAGTTTGTTCATCAGGGACTGATATTTCTCTATCACATCTACACAGTGCTCTAGAGATAGTGGGATGTAATGGAATCCCAAATGAATGTATGCTAACTAAAGATGCTCTCAACACAACTGAAGGTTTTGATTTTGTTTTTGTTTTTAAAGGTTGTGCCTTCTTCAGAGAAAGGTGATAGATAACATTGGGGCGCCTGAGTGGCCCAGCTGTTTGAGCAATTGACTCTTGGTTTCAGCTTAGGTCATGATCGCAGGGTCGTGGGATCGAGCCCAGGCTGGGTCAACCCTCATAAGGGAGTTTGCTCTAGATTCTCTCTCTCCCTCTCTCTTTGCCTCTCCCCCATTCTCTCTCTTTATAAAATATACAAATCTTTTTTTAAAAAGGTAATAACCTTCTGAAAGCAATTGACAAATAGGTTGAAGTGTTATCAAATATGTGTTTATAAGCATATATATATTATATATATGTAAACAGTGAAAAATATGGGTTTGTGGAATCTATAAGATGCTATGAATAGAGAGGGAAGACTAAGTCTCATTATTTTTAAAATTTAGGTGAAATGAAGTTCATCAAACAAGAAAGAAAATCTTTAATTAGTAGCCAAAATGAAACATTTTTTCCAGAGATTTATAATTTTATCTCTGATGAAATTTTAAAATCATTTTTCTAAAAAGAACAATGATTATCCAACCATAATATGCTCTCACTTAATCATTTTAACATATACTGGCATTCAAAAAAAACCGTAAGTCTGATCAAAAGTAATTTCAAAGGTTTTTTTTTCAAAGCTACTTAAAAAAAAAAAAAAAAAAAACCGTCTAGTTCAAGCTTTTGCTCTTCTGGAGTCAGTCTAGAAAAAGAAAATAGAAGTTATGGCAAGTGGTAGATAACAGCAATAGACATAGGAATGGCACCAGTGGTGAAATAAAATGCAGATGTGATCTGGCCTGGGCACATGGCAAGACCCATACAGTTTTATTGGTTCACCTCTAAATGAATTCACTAAAACAATGAGATAGTCCCAGTGCCCTAACAAAAACAAAACAGAAAAATACATCTGTAAGCTTCTGGATTAAAAATACCTACCATGGTGCATGAATCCATTGTCACAGAGTCCGACACCAAATATCATTGCCTCTTCTCTGGTGCGACAATCCCCCTGTTAACCACAAAAACATGGCACAACTTTATAGGCAACTGAAGGCTTTGTTGTGTCTTTACTGCATTTGACATTCCCAGCACCACACTGACAGAAACATTCTTTTATTAGGGCACACACTGCTTTCATAAGCTCATGATGCACCTAATTGCTATAAAACATTCACTTAAGAAAACATCTTTTTTTGACATTAAGGGAAAAAACAAAAATATATTTCTTGAGTAAAACAATACTGTATTAAACAGGAAAATATATAAATAACTAAAATTCATTGCTACCACAAGTGATCCCTTTCTCTTATTTTTTCAATCTTGTATCCCAATTGTGCAGCAAGAAAATATCCTATGTATTGAAAACACACTAAAGTTAATGAAAAATCATTATGCATAATCTCTACTATCACATTCCTTCTACCAGTGGTCTTGCTCTTTAAGGACCCCTAAAGAGACCTACTAATACAGGGTGATTTATAAGACCCTAAAAGTAAATTGTTCAGCTGAGCCTATAAATGCAAGCTGCTCTTTCACTGTCTTGCAGAAAAAATAATCAGATCATATAACTGAAGCAAATATGAAAGCCCAATGTAACCTTCTGTTAGGTTTTTATCCAGAAAACTTCTATTTTATTCATCTAAGGACTCATATAAAGGAACAGGCATATGTACATAGGTGTGTTTAAACTTAGAGTTGTAGGTTTAATGGTTAAGAAGTACTTTCTCATTTTACTTCTTCCTAGTCGGGCTGCTCCCCTGAACTCTGAACTCTGTGCTTATTTTTATCCTTGCTTTCACTCAAAATCGATTATTCATACCTACAATGCATGTTTTACATGTTTTGTCCACCCACTTGTTTTAAAGTATCTGTTGTTAGTCCTAGCAAGTTATTTTAATGTCCCGGTGCTGTTTTCTCTGTTTGATCATAATTCCAGTAAGAAGTAGACAGTTGTGAAAATAAAATCTGGAGAGATGAAGGGACTTGTCCAATTTTGCATAACTACTTATCAGAAGAACCATCATGAGATGTTAGGTTACCTGAGTCCCATTCCATCACCCTAATTTCTACTACATATAATTTCTAAGACATTATTGTAACAGACCACTAAGAAAATCTGAAGAAAAAAATAACTGCAACATGGTTCAGTTTTTATTCTGTTTTTCTAATGCTCATATTTGAAAGGTAAAACAATGCCCCCAAAAAAAAAAAAAAAAAAAAAGGTGCTCACTGATTTCCTGAGTCAGGACTTTAAATATTTATTAGGCACCAACTTTCACTTCAAAAAACCTTTCTTCAGTTTTCCCACATGGTCAATATATAGTATAAGATTGTGTGAATTCGGTAAGATTTTAATTGCTATGTGAAATGCCAACTCTGATATCAAGTACAGAACCAATTGTAATGACACATATTTGACCATAATGTTATAAAAGTCTGACTCAAGTAAACCCATTGCATGTATGAATTAGTTTTTGTTTTTTTATGATCTATTTATTTATTTATTTATTTGACAGACAGAGATCACAAGCAGGCAGAGAGGCAGGCAGAGAGAAGAGGGGAAGCAGGCTCCCCACTGAGCAGAGAGCCCAATGCGGGGCTTGATCCCAGGACCCTAGGATCATGACCTGAGCCGAAGGCAGAGGCTTTAACCTACTGAGCCACCCAGGCGCCCCTGAATTAGTTTTTATCTAAAAATAATTGCTTGGTTTAATCTAAAATCCTAACTTCTAAATAGAATACATTTAAGTGCTATAAATACAAAAGTAGGCAGTCTTGGATAGTCTAGAAATTAAAATTAAATAATAAAAATCTCAAAATTTATGCGCACAGATGAGTTGAATATGAATTAAACATTGATATTTGAAACAAAGAACATTCTAGGATTATCAAATGTAGGTCACTTTACTTAATTACAAAAAAGTAGAACTCCTTATGAAATTGACTCAAACACCTAAGCATAACAACATTTCAACCAAGCAACATCCCCTAACAAAACAGTAAGTTCTGTCAAAGTGTTTTGTAACCAGTATTAAACATTGATTATATATTAGGTGACCTAGAATGATAAAACATTTAAATTTATATTTGAATATCTAGTATGTTGGGGATAAATGTCCTAATTTGCAAATAACATTTTCTCAGTACCTACCTGCTGTCAGCTCCCACGTTCTGAGAAACAGAGCAACAATAACAATAAATTTCATATTTTCCTATTTAAAATGTATGTAGATAAATAGTAAAGCTTATATTTGTCAAAGCACAATTACTATCTAACAGAAAGGCACAGGGAGATTAGAGTAACTTGCGAGGACTAATAAACAGATATCTTAAAACAAATTACGAACAAAACATGCAAGAAATTTTAGTGTCTGTGAATATGTATTCTTCAGTGATATATTCAAATTACACTTAGGGTTTGTTTTTTTTTTCCCGTTTTCTTTTCTTTTTTTTTTTTTTTTAAGTCAGCACCATGCCCAGCACAGAGGCCCATGTGGGTCTTGAACTCATGACCCTGAGATTGAGACGTGAGGAGAGATCAAGAGTCAGACGCTTAACTGACTGAGCCACCCAGGTGCCCCTACACTTAGTTTTTCACTGGATCTCAGTTGATATTTTTTTTTTTAAGATTTTATTTATTTACTTGATAGAGATTACAAGTAGTCAGAGAGGCAGGCAGAGAGAGAGGAGGAAGCAGGCTCCCCGCTGAGCAGAGAGCCCAACATGGGGCTCCATCCCAGGACCCTGAGATCATGACCTGAGCCGAAGGCAGAGGCCCCAACCCACTGAGCCACCCAGGCGCCCCTCAGTTGATATTTTAAAAATAGGAACATCTTGCTCTTAAAAGACCATATAGCATAAAAATTAAGTTTGAAGACTGTGAAGTCAGAGTACCTAGATTCAAATCCTAACTCTGTATTACCTATATGAACTTAGTCAAGCTATTTCCCTGTGTCTCCTCTGCACATGGTGACCAAAGAAGGTGTCTAAATCACCTGAAAGCTTAAAGCAGCAGCGAATGTAACTCAGCAAGTTCTTTTTCTATTTACCTGTGCAATTAACCAGTCTATCAGCTTGTTGGCCATGACTACAGACTTGTAGGTTCGTAGATGGTAATCTTTATCTCTATAAGGAAAAAGAAACCAAAACCGGTGAGGGGATAAGTAAGAGCAGGAAAATGTTTCATTTAATATCAGTGTGCAACAGAAAAGTCTACTAAATATAATCTGAATCTATTATCCAAATTATGTGCAAATAAGAGAGGTTTACAAGATATATATAACACCTGAAAATTCCTTCATCAGTTTATATTGGAAGAGAGCCACAATGATACCAAAACAGGATATTTCCCCTTTGACATGTTCATATACACAAATAAATTATTGCTTCTATATTATCTGACAATGATTTAGCCAGAAATACAGTATCTCATTAATAAAAGAATAATAAAAATATAATTTCTTCCCTTAAAATCAAAGAAAGAGCCTACAAAAACAAAAACAAAAAGCAATAACGATAACAACTCTTCAAAATGTGGAGAATAAAGCAAGCCCTTTTATTCCTGAATTCTCCAGGAAGGCTGGATTGGCACTGGAGGATTATTTGTTTGGCTCAGCTGCAGTGGCAGACAGCAGGTCTGGTAAGGTAAACATGCTGAGAACGCTGTCATTCATCTTGTCTGATCAGAGCATGGACAAGTGACACCCCATCCCTAGGGAACCAAGGGAACCAGCCGACTCTACATTAGCCTTTCCTTTCAGTAGACTTCCCAGATCTGGGAAATCATTCAAAGTTAAGTTAGATACCAACAAGTGCTCCTGATCAGAATGGGGCCCCCAGGGCAGAAATCTATAATTCATTCATTTTGCAGGCCTAGATCAAAGAGAAAATGACAGTCTTTTCAAAATGTCAAAAGATCGGAACTGTAAGCAACTTGAAGTGATAAATAATTACTAGCTCTGTTCACAGTTCATTAGCCCCTGTCAGCAACTGACAATTAATACTGACATCATTTTATCCACCTTCATAAAAAAAAGACCCTGAAAAATAGTTGATATTACTAAAAGAGATTTTAGTAATAAATACACCAGGTTAGCCACTAATCAATAGCAGATTCTTTTTTTTTCTAATTTTTAAAAAATAATTAAATGATTATATCTTTTTAAATCTATTTCCACGTTTCTGATACCTCACTGCCCATTTCATCTTGGTTTCCATAAGCACCAATAAGAAGGAAAAGGATAGTCAGTATATTACAAAACACACGTGGGTTAGTGCATTCTTCACCCAAGTAATTTTTCATTTTGTAAGCTGAGTTCACACATATTAAAAGCATGACTATCATACATTCCATCTGTTATATGGTTTTTTCCCATAAATTTTTCCTTGACAACTCATAAACAATTGTCATTTCTAGCCAAAGAATAATCCCTTCTTATCAGCTCTTATGGAATGTAACCTTCTTGATAAGAAATCGCATATGGCTAAAGTATATTTTCAGAGCACATTTTCTCACATACAAAATCCACATATACACAGGTAACATGAAAACTGTTATCATGATCGTTTTTATGAGTTTAGCAGAAAAAACAGATTTAAGTACCAACTTACTATTGAGTGAAGTAACCATCTTTTAGTGTTAGATTATCCAAATTATTTTCAGGGAGGCTATGCTAGAAATCTAGTAGGGAATCTATAAATATAGCTTCATTTTCACTTCTTTTTACTTTAGGAAGTCTGTTTGTGAAAGGAGATAGGGCAATTTCAGGAGTGATGGGTAAATTTTCTTTCTTCCTCCAGGATCTGCACTGTGTTCTCTATAAAACATTAGTGAGCATTCCAATACACTTAAACAGCCACTTTGGGATTTTTTTCCCTTAAGTTCTGAGTTTCCTTGAAATTGGAAACCAGAATGAAAAATAGAAACACAGCACATCAAACATTTGGATTCTATAGCCATGACTGAAAAAATGATTTTTATTCCTTTTGGAAATAGTACATCCATTTTTTGTCCTGAATATGAAGTTTCAGTCAATAAACTCTGAATGATAGCTGGCCATCTGAAATTAGTGTAACATCATACTACATTCTATCAGTGTATATCAGTGTAAATTTTATAAAAATACATCACTTCAATTAGTTATCATAACACAAAACTCAGTTTTCTGCTGTCTTTCTACAGAGGTAAACTGAAAATTAATTATGATTCCACTTCAAAAAAAAGCACATATCTTTTCAGAAGGAAAAAATTGGTAGAGAATAAATTATACTGTTTTACTTATTAACTCCAAAGTAATTCTGAATTTTCAAGTACAAAATCTTTCCTTTGGATAAAAGACTATTAGGCATATTATAAAAATACATATTCAAGAATTGATTACAAAATTTACTGAGAAAGGAAATCATACAGTAATCAGAGTAGTATTTATAGTAAATAATATTTTCAAATTCTCTCCCAGTGAACTATTATTTACTAAATATTAACTGAATGTGGATTATTTCATTATCAATTCTATAATTTAGTATGAATTAATGACTAATAATTTTAGAAATCAGAATAAAAAAGTGGAAAAATGCATAATTAGAGTCTCAGAAAATTTAGAAATATTTTCAGGTCAATTATTACTTAAAATAATCTTTAAAAGTAAAATTTGCACTTATAGAATAAGTGAAATAATAAAATAAAATAAAATAAACCAAGAGGTTCCAGCTGAATAATAAGTACCTAATATGCAATACAAATATTGTCACGTAAGTTGCCCAGAACTTAGAAACCAGACTCACCTTATCACTGGAGTAAACAGACTATGAAGACGGCAATATAATCTCACTCCCTATTATAAAATAAAGATACGTCAAAAACAAGGAGGATCATTCAAAGTTCAGACCAATGATTTTTGAGACAAATCCACTGTCAACATTCTGGAATCATTATATAATCTCTACCAATTTAAAAGTTATTCAACTACTGCATTACATCAGAAAAACAATGTAACTTAAATAATTAAAAACAGGATTAAATTGTACTATAATTTGTCATATACATATGACATATACATATATACAAAGAGATAAAATTATTTTTCTTAAAAATGTAGAATTCCAAAGTATTAGCAGAAAATAAATCTATGCAGCAACACTTCACACTATGTGTTCATTTTATGTCAGTATAAATCTCATCAAGTGTGCAAAGAAAACTGATGTTACATACATTTTATATATCTTTTTTAAAATTTATCGTGTATAATGGCCACTTGTTGCCACATGTGACATACTTTTCAGTGGATATAATCTGAGGATGCAATTTCATTAGTTCCATCGAGAACTACACAAGAGAATGAAAAAAATGATCTAACCCTAGAATTCTTTAAATAGCAAGAAAAGACTGAGAGGCTTGCTTATGAATGCCATTTTCTATACTAGAATTTTTTTTTTTTAAGTCTCTCAACAGCATTTTGTCTTGGTGCAGTATGACAACATGAATTCTGCTATTGATAAAAGGTTCTGGGAGAGGCTGTTACCTTTGAAATCACGTCCTGCATTTCATTTCTTGGATAAAATGTTCCATCATCATAGCGGAATCTATATAGCATCTGCTCTGGCTTGAACTGATGTTTATCAGTAACTAAGAACACAGAAACAATATGCTAAAATATCGACAATCTAAAAATTGGCAAACAAAAACAAATAAATTTATAAAATACATATTCCCAAATGCTAAAACATGTAGTTTTACCAAAAACTTTTGTTTCCCTAACACAGTAATACTAATTCAGTATTCTGATAGGATTCATGTTAGGATTTTGTTATATAATACTTTTATGATTTCCATATAATGATTAAAGAAATAAGTTGAGATTGTAATACTGGGTTAGCATAGTACAAGGGTATGTACAGTGTATTATTTTATTTATATAAATATACAAAGTTGTGTTTTCTATTTCTTCACAGTGCCACAAAGTTGAGCAAAAAGTGTCCTTCAAAGAGCAGATAATCTAACTAATGAGTTATAATTCAATTCTCAGTCCTAGAAGTGAATTTTAGTATTTATCTGTTTTATCCCACAGCAATCAGGCCAAGACCACCCATACACCAATCTTGACCATTTATTCTGTGTTTACATCTCTGGAGTAGACTATATAATTTCAATATGCAATTTATTCCAAAATTTCAACAGTTTTCTGAAACTGAGAAATGCTTTTCTCACATGTCACTTAATATTTTTTGCCCTTAGTAGAAATGAGAATGGTCATCCTTTGCTTTTGTCCTTGAGACATGAGTTTCATATTCATAAAGACTCCTATTTAAATTTCTCTCATTTTCTTTTGATTTCCAGGAAAAGTATGTTACAGACACTTTTAACCAAAAAATGATTGTGGAGGGAAAAAAACCCACAAATTAAACCTTGAAGAGTTTATATTTAAATGTTTTCTTTAGAGGAAATGCAACATTCGCAGAAGAGATAATTTGTTGCAATGGGCTCTATTTTCATGATTACTAGAAGACTTTGACCTTTACTTTTTATTTAAAATGTTGAAGGGGGAGAAAAAGTTGTCAGAATTAATTTTCATGATCTCCATTTGATGAGGGGTGTCCAAGAGGCTCAGTACATTAAGCGTCTACCTTCGGCTCAAGTCATGGATACAGGGTCCTGGGAGGGAGGCCCAAATGGGGCTCCCTGCTCAGTGGGGAGGCTGCTTCTCCTGCTGCCCTTCCCCCTGATCATGCTCTCTCTCTCTCACTCGTGTGCTCTTTCTCTCTCATAAATAGACAAAATCTTAAAAAAAAAAAAAACTACATTTGTTGAATCCAGAAGAAAGCCAAAAGACTTATCACACATACACACACGGATGTGAAGTTTCAGTTATTTTACCCCAACCTACTGAAACCATGTGCATGGCTTGCAGCCATCAGATCGACACAGGACGGCTGCCAAAGAAAGATAGAAAACACAGCCTTTTGGCATCTCCTTTTTTCCAGATCAAGCCAAAAAGAAAAAACATGTGTGAAAGAAAAATAATATGGCAAGAAATATTTTGCAATCCCATGGCATGTTTCAAGACCAGTTACTTATTTCTTCTCTACAATCTACCTATTCTAATTTTTATCCCCTAAGAGTCATTGAAATAAATGATTGTCTTGATATTTCAAAATTCGAGGAAACACTGGCCCCAAATGTCTCTTGCCACAATAAAACGAATAGTGGTTTAAAATCCCTATTCAAATTGGAGTACTTAGTTGTAGGGCAAACTCTTACAAGACTTTGATAATTCATCTTGGGTTAATCTGGAACTCTTAGCTATTGCCTTGGAAAAAATGGTGAATAGCTCTGCACTCAAATGCACTCCCTCAAATTCCTGAATGTGAAAAATGGGTTTATTAACTCTTGAGAGTACAGGTCACGTGAGAAAGGTTGCTTAACACTGTCTTCTAAACAACTCTGCAATATTGAGATATTACTAGGGATACAGCTGGCTTTCTGCATGGTGGGGTAGGAGTGCTGACCTATAGTATTCACCAGTTTCTGTGGTATTAAATATTCCCACACCAGCCAATTTCAAGCTACCAAAATAAAGTCACTGAACACCGAGTTAGACAAGCAGTGATACATTATTATTTCATATTTCCATAAAGAAATAATAGATATAAGTAACACTAAGGACCCGGAGAACAATAAAATATAGTAAAATAATTAGAAAGTAATGAGTTTTAATAATATATGAACTTTGTTTATAGTATAATTTATGTACTATCTCTTCATATAATTTTTAATAATAGCTGCGTCTTACAACTAGCTTGCAAATTTCTAAGAAATTTAATTACCAGCTCTCTCAAGTTTGTATAAGCCAACTTCAGCACACTACTGGATATAATAAATGAGGTCTCTGAATTGCATAAGCATTTATAATGTAAATAGTAGACCCAGACAAGAAAATGTATCAGCATATCATACCAAAAACATATGCTGTTTCAACCCAGTAATTCCTGGTATAGCAAGGCTTTGCTTTTATGAAGTTCTCAGCAATATTTGCAATGTGAATAGTGGCAGCAGTAACAGTCAACTCTTCAAGTTTTCTCTCTTTAAAACAGATGGTTCATCCAACTTTATTTTAGGAACTCTATTTTCATGAAATGCAACTGGAGTCACATACCAATAACACTAGCATGCTTGGCTCATATTTCTACATTCAAATAAAATTATTAATGTGAAATTGCATAATATGTTCTCCTACTCCTAGTTCAGGGGAATCTGTACTAGTTAATTTGGGGCACTTAAAGAAGTGATTACTTTTAGCAACAAAAATTCTGTATGCCAAATCTGACATTACAACCGAGCAAATCCTGATAACAATAATAGTACAGGACACTAAAATCAAACTGACAAATAGAATGATACTAATAGAGAGTAGTCAGTGCTTTATCAGAAAAGGAGTTAATCGGGTTATAATTGTTCAAAAAGATTTAAGTTCTTATAAGTTAAATAATCAAAGGGTTTTTGCATTTGAAATTTCAAAATAAATTTTGATCCAGAATTTATCTCTTACTTCCTTTTCAAAATTGTATTGGAGAAAAGTGGTGTCTGAAGTTGGAGGATAAGTTGATTAGGACTGAAATTCTCCCATTCTGATATCCCTTACCGAAAAAAATCTTATGTTGTTGTTGTTTTTTTTTTTTTTTTCTTTTTAAAGGAAAGCAACTGGGGTGACTGTGTGGCTCAGTCGTTAAGCATCTGTCTTTGGTGCAGGTCATGATCCCAGTGTCCTGGGATCAAGCCCCTCATCGGGCTTCCTGCTTGGCAGGAAGCCTGCGTCTCCCTCTCCCACTGCCCCTACTTGTGTTTCCTCTCTCACTGTCTCTCTCTTTGTCAAATAAATAAATACGATCTTTTAAAAAATAAATAAATAAAGGAAGGCAATGTAAAAATACAGTGAGAAACATCTTAACAGAATAAATAAGGGAGGTTCTCTCTCCATGGAACTCTCTGATTCCTTCAAAAGCTTTCAGCAGTTATAAACTGAAGAATAGGTCAGACTCCAAAAGACTATTCATGAAGATACTTAACAAATATTATTTAAACTCTGCTTTGTACTAACTTACAATTGACTTGTAAATGTTTGGCTACCTACTCATGATTTCAGGCAAAGTTATAACAGTTTTGACATTGTAAGTCAGCATAATGTCACCCATAATAGTTATGTTTTTGGTTTTCAGAACCCAATGCACTATGCAAATAAGTGACTAGTTCTCATATAATTCTTAGGTCACCTTATATGAAATACAAAAGCAAGAGTAGAAGTGGGGCTTGAAAATAACCTAATATCCCCTTCAAAGGACATCCTCTTCCCCACGCCCTGACTCTTCTCAGCTCTGGATATACAATTTTTGTAATTAACTTTCATCTATTACAAGGTAACTCATATGAAAAAGGAAAATATCATAACAAACAGCATGTAGGTCTTTATAAATACAGTAAGCAATCCCATACAAGTACCAAAAGTCACATTTTTAAAATACTCTTTTAAATAATTTAAATAACAGAATCAATTGTTGACAGCTTTAAAATCTTTTTTATTTCTAATTCATAATAGTTTGAAATCACTCAAAATAACAACAAAATTTATGAACACCTCTACTGAAATGTTAAAAGTCATTTTTATGACTATTATATGCTGATAGCACTATAAAACATCGACAAGTTTATATAATGATTACTCTGGCTTTAATATAATTCCATAGATTTTATATTGACCTGAGAACTATACCTCAGTAGCAGACATTGGATCGTTGTTTACCAAATTGGTTTAGCTTTTATTTTCCCTGGGCATGAACCTACACTACATTTCTAAGTTTCTCTTGCAATAAGGAGTGGCCATGGAACTGAGTTGCAGCTAACAACATGCACACAAAAGTAAGGCAAAACATGGAGTATACAGGCTCATTTAAAACAAACAAACCAAAAACTCCACCACTCCTTCCAAATGACCGTTAACAGCCCTGCACTGAAGGTGGGTGAGCCTCTCCCAGGACTAAAACCCTGGTACCTCGAACATCCTCTACCAGTGACTGGATTTTACCTGAGTGAAAAAGTAGCTTCTAGAATGGAAGCCAGGGTACTGAGGTTTAAATCTGTTAGTGCAGCTATTGTTAACCAATACAGTTTTCCTTCTCAGTGTTCCCAGCAGAAAGGTAATTATCCCATCCTGGTGGATTTCTACCTTTCTGAAAGGAAATATGTCAACACCTGGATTGCTTGATGAATAAGGTAAAAAGACAGGTTTAAACTATTAGGCCATAAGAAATAAAGGCCATAACATGATAATATTACACTAGGTAGCATAATATCTTACACACAGAATGGAGGAGAGAGTCAGTAAGGAAAGGAATAAATAAATAGTTCATAAATAGATTTTCCCTTCTTTGCTCTACTGGTAAGACATAGTTCCTGGAAGTATGTAGCCTAAATGAGAAAGGAATCACCTGATTTCTGAAGGTCTATGATTGTATGTAAAACCTCTCTATAGTCCACCTACTTGAGCTTCAGTAGACTGCAGGACAAAACACAACATATTCCCTTCTTGACTCAAATATACATTTGTGCTTGGGGTTAGAAGAAAGGAAGGAGAAGCAGCCAAGAGGAAAGTCATCTAACTCAACATCTTTTCATTTTTACTTATAAGTTTTTGGATGATGTGTTTTAGCACACTAGATGCTATGTGGTGTGTTTTCACAGTGCTAAAGAATCAGGAACAAAATCATCTACAATTTATCACTATTATCATCTATTTACTAACAATATAATTACTCCTTTATTCATTCACTGAGCAAATATTTATTGAGCACCTACATGTGATGGGCACTCCAGGTATCCTGTTCCTATAGTACTTCTATCTTGATGGGGGGCCAGAATCAATATGGGAGGTAAAGAGAGAAATAATAAATAAATAAAATAGCATGATAATTTTAGAGAGTGCTAAGTTCATGAGGAAAATTTCAAAAATTAAAAACACAGTTTATGGTAATAGGATGAGATTCTAAAAGAGTGTCACTGAAGACATGAGTCATGAATACTGCCACTCTTGTCATTTCATTCACTGCTGTCCCTCCAGCACCTAGAAAGGTCCCTGGTATATACTAGGAATTAATAAATAATAGTTGAATGAGAATTGCAAGAGCAAAGATCCTAAATGCAGAGTCATCCCAGAGTGTTTAAGGAAGAGACAGAAAACCACAGGGGCCACAATGTAATGAGCTGGGTACAACATTATTTGTCAACTCAGAGGAAGTCAGGAGCCCTATTATGTGGGGCCTTGTGGGCCATGGTAAGAGATCTGGACCATAGTAAGTAAGAGGTTCCAGACTTTTCTTTGAGTTTAATGGGATGCCAGTAGATGATTATAAACAGGACAATGCTTTGCTCTTACATTTGTTTTAAAAGGTCTCCAGCTGTTTCCTGGAGGCTGTGTCATAGGGATGGAGGACAAAAGCAGGAGCAAGGAAGGAGAAGTTGTGACTGAGAAGGTGGGGATCCTGGAAGTGACAGAAGTGGTCTGATTAGCGATCTATTTTGGTGGAAGAATTCACAGGGAACCCAGGATGGTGAGGAAAAACTGGGAGAATCTAGTTCAGTTTCATCCCACTCTAATTGAAAAAAAAAAAAAAAATTGAAGTAGCTTAGCAAAATGCCTATGTTTATTCATAATTCCCTCTTTTTCTCCTCTCCCACATTCTGCATTAGAAATTCTTCACACTTTACTTCGCAGTCCCATTATCACTGCATTCTTCTTTGTTACTGATCTCCTCAGGAAACTGGTGCTCTCTTGAAATGATTCCCATGATTGTATACACTGAGCTTTACACATACATTTTCAACCTCTTGCTGGGTGTTCCCCTGTGGATGTATTATAACGAACCTGACAAAAACCCTTTATCCTCTCCCACCCAGCTCCTTCTCCTGAATAGTCATCCTTGACAACCAGACAGAAGTCTCACAGTAACCTGATCTTGCCCTTCACTCCTCATCTCCCACAGCCAACAGTTTTCGAACAGGCCGCTTCAGCTTCACCACAGTCTCCCAGATGGGCCACTGTCATCACACCCTAGAACATAGCCATCATCCTCCTACCACAGGGAAAGGCGGGGGCTGCCTGATGGACGGGGCTCCCCCACAGTGTCTCCAACGTCTCCACTCCACATTCCACACTGCTGCACCTAAGTGCTCTAAAAGCCATGTTCTGGACACTTTTCTGCTTAAAAGTGTCCATCATCTCCTCATCTCCTTCAGAATAAACCCAACATATTACAGCCAGAGAGTTAAGATCCTGCCTACCTCTCCCACCGAACCCTTCCTCTCCAGTATATTCATCTGTGAAGTAGACTGTCTTGCCTCGTGAGAGTTTGTGCTAGTTCCTAAGAGGCCACCATGAGCTATCCCACTCCCATGCCTCAGGGAAGGACGTCCTTCTTCTCTTCTGCCCTGTCAGAGTTCTACTCATTCTACAATGCCTTACATGAGGCCCTTTCCCTCATAATGCAGCCCCAAATACTCCAGTTAGAACTTGACATGTCTTCCTCCACTATCCCAGGTAAATACTTACCTGTATTTCTAATTTGTGCCTGTTTCGTAGCCATTCACATTAAAATTAGCAAATATATCACCATAAACCCATACTCCACAAAATTCCCAGAACTGCAGTTCTATATATATTAGGTACTTGAAATGTTAAAAATACATAAGCATCCTATAATGTAGACATTTACTCTAAGCCAGGTTGATGAACGGAATCAAGATGCTTCCAACTGGTGGCCAAAGAAAATAAGTTAGTAATTAATAAAATAATTACCATGGTGGATGATTCCATTTTCTAATAATGCTTGTCCTAAGTGTACACCTTCCTCAGGCCTGTGAATCTCTCCAATTTCCAAGAGCCATGACACAAATTCACTGCAATAGAAATCCAGTGAAACAGTTAAAGGGTTTTCCCACCCCTGCCTCCCCAAGAAGTCTATTTCTACCACGCTTCCATCAAGCAGCCTTGGAAGGAGTCTCAGATATAAAGAAGTACTTGCAGTGCATTTCAGATTGCATTTTTTCACACATGCAAAGCCCCAAATTATTTAAATTTTACCCTATTCTAGAAAACCCATGTCTATTCATTCATGTTTACTTAAACCATATATAATACCTATTCAACTTACTGAGACCTCTAATAAACACAAAGGGAAAATTTTAGAGTAGTTTTAACTATAAAGAGAATATAACAAGATCCTAAAGATAGCAAACAGACAAAATAGACAGAATAATAATGACTTAATATAAGAGATAGACTGGAATATGGCTTTCCAGGCACAGAAAACCAGTGTGTTTGAACTCTAAGAAGGCAAACCCAAAAAATCTGCACACCCCATATGGTAGATGGAATTCTAAACATGTCCTCTTACCCCACTATCAAGAATACCATCCCTTGGTTTTGTAACCAAATCCTAACCTAGGTAATGGTATGAATGGATTTTGTATACAAAACTAAAATTCTAAGTCAGTTGACCTCAAAATATGTAAATTATTCAAGTGAGCTTGACCCCGTCAGTTGAGCACTTTGAAGCAGAGAGTTTTCTCAGGCTGGTGGCACAAGACTAAGAGAAAAATTAAAAGCACAAAAAGATTCAGTGAGCCACTGCTGCCTTTGAAGATAGAGGGGCCATGTACCAAGGAACACAGGCAGCTTCTGAGAGTGGTCCTGGCCAACAGCCAGCACAGAAGTAGGACTTACTCTTACAATCACGGGGGACTGAATTCTGTCAACTACCTGAATGTGCTTGCAAGTGAATTTTTCCTCAGACCCTTAAGATAAGGCCCAGCCTCAGCTCAGCCCTTGATTATGGCCTTGATTTTGACCTTGTGAGACCCTAAGCAGACAGCCCAGCATTGCTCACCTCAACTTCTTTCTGATGTATAGGATGATGAGCTAATGAATAGGTGTTGTTTCAAGGCACTAGGTGTGTTGTTATTTATTCTGCAGCAATATAAAATTAGTACACACCAATAGTTTTACTACCCTGTTTTCAAATTTTGAAGTTATTTAGTGGGGCACATCGGTGGCTCAGTTGGTTATTTTTGGCTCAGGTCATGATCTCGGGGTCCTGGGATCAGTCACGCCTCCAGCTCTCTGCTCGGCACGAGTCTGCTTCTCCCTCTCCCTCTGCCCCTCCCGATGCTTGTGCTCTCTTTCTCTCTCCTCTCAGATAATAAATAAAACCTTTAAAAATAAATAAATAGATAAATAAATAAATAAGGTTTTTAATAAATGCATTCTTGTATTTAAATGTCATCCGGGGAGGAAGGGGTGGGGGGACCTGGGTGGCTTAGTGGCGTAAGCATCTGCCTTTTGCTCAGGTCATGTTCCTGGAGTCTGGGAAACATTGGGTTCCCTGCTCATTGGGACATCTGTTTCTCCCTTTGACCCTCCCGCCTGTTGTGCTCTCTCTCTCTCTGACTCTCACTCTCTCTCAAATAAATAAATAAAATCTTAAAAAAAGAATAAACTGTCATCCAAAAGGAATATTCCAGCACAAAACCACCCATCAGAACTGTCTACCACATCCATCTGCTGTGGCTGTGAAAGGCCAGGGAGGATGAATAAACCACATCTTTTACCATTTTGGGGTGGGGAGAGGAGCCACACATCACAGATAAGTAGGATGATATTTTATAACACAGGAGAGCACCAGTTTGGTACTGTTTTTTTGGCCATCTGGTATCATTAAGAGAACACTAAATAGAGAAACATTTTTCAATAAAATATTTTATTGTGCTCATGTTATAAAAATATAACATTTGAACTTTTACATAAAGTAATGGATACATTTCAGAATGATTTCAACTTTGCGCAGAGCTCAGAGAAGCCAAGCTATAGACGGTGTCAGGAAATTACTTTTCCATTTATATCAAAACCAAAAGCAACACCTATGGCTAAAATCAAATAACTGAGGGGCATGAAATTCTAAAAATGGATATCTAGTCTATAAAGTACATATTAAGGCAGAAGAAGTTGTTAAAGCCATCCAAAAGAAAGAAAATTTAAAAAGAAGTAAAACTTCAGTTTTTTCTTCAATAGCACAAAAATAATAATACCAACTCCAGGGATGCCTGGGTAGCTCAGTCGGTTAAGCATCTGCCTCTGGCTTGGGTCATGATCTCAGGGTCCTGGGACCAAGCACCAAATCAGGCTCTGCACTCAGCATGGAGTCTGCTTGTCCCATTCCCTCTGCTCCCCAATCTCTCTCTCTCTCTCAAATAAATAAGTAAAATCTTGGGGGAAAAAAAAGTGTATCAACTCCACAGTGCTGTCACAGGATTAAATGAGCTGATGAATGTCAGGAGCTCAGCACAGTGTCTGGCACATTTTGAGCACTTATGAAACGTCAGCGGTTGACAAATGGGTTGAGCTGGTTGGTATACAGCGAAAGCATCATTCTCTGTTCTGATGTCAGCAGATTCCTGAATATGCCAAATTAAAATGAGGAAAAGAACACACTGTAAGTATTGCTATTAATTAGGAGCATAGGGGAAGGAAAGAGAAGGGGTAAGAAAGGAAGTTATTGGGTGGCTTTATCATGGGACCTACAGAAATCACAAGATCCCATTAACACTCTGCGAAAGGATCCTGATCCAGTCAAAAACAATCTCAGACTTGGTCTATAATTAGTAACTAGTAACTAAGCTAGGGTGCTGTTACAGAAAAAGCCACAATGAACACAACTAAAATTTACCGAGTCTCTCCTGTGTATCAGGCACTGAGGACAATGCTCACATATCATTGTACCTAACTAGCACTTTGGCCGTGTAAGATCGTGTTAACTCTTTTTTTATTTATTATTTTTATTAACATATAATGTATTATTTGTCCCAGGGGTACAGGTCTGTGAATCATCAGGCTTACGCATTTCACAGCACTCATCATAGCACAAGCCCTCCCCAATGTCCATCACCAGCCACCCTCTCCACACTCCAACCACTGTGTTAACTCTTTAGTTAACAAGACTCCTGCCCCTTTAATTAGGAAAACTTGACCCTGGGTCAGCCTTGGAGCTGTTTCCCTGGAACCTGACGGAGGCAGGGCGTCTGCTGGGTTACCAGGCAGCATTGCTCATGGCCATAATGACTCCTGATGGCTAAATGGAATATGAATACATTCTTGGTGAGAAGCTATAGCTTGAAGTGACTCCTATAAACAGGCATGTCCCTCTGAGAACCCTGGAAGTTATGCCCCAGAGGTGGTTCTAAGAAATTGGGTCTTCTTTGCAACATGGGGTTTCTAAGCCAAGGCGGGCTCCCCTCCACTCTTTCTCTCCCACAAGAGCCGTCGGCTGGGGGCTTACCAAGGACAGCACCAGCAGCTTGCTGGCAGCCGAGGCTCTGCTGTGAGAACCCCAGCGCCTGAGGGAGGGACCCCAGCTGCCCTGAAGGCCAGGGTTTCCTGGCTTATATTCTTCTGTCTGGGTTGGGAGCTTTTTATGGTATCTGCATAACTTATTGAGAAGACATTCTGGTAGGCATTACAGGTAAGCACTATAATCATCTTCATGTTTAGAGAGGAAAAAGACATTTAAACTTCCCACTTCGCTCAACTAGCCAGAGGTAGGACCAGATTTGCATGGAGACAGTCTGACTGCGAAGTGTGGGCTTTGAACTACCACTCCACTCTCCTACAGAGTTGACATTGGCATTCACTGGTTGTATGAAGGTGGGCATGGTAAACTCCCTGACTGCTGGTTTCTGAATCTTTAAAAAATATAAAGATTATAAATGCAAACTATGCATCTGAGGATTAGAAATGTATGGAAACAGCCAGCACGGGGCATGGCTTAAGGCAGCCGCCCTTCCCTTTGGTCCTGCAAACTTCACCCAGCAGGGACTTCCACGTGCAGCTGCCTGCAGACCTCAGAGGACTGACAGTGGGTCTATGCTTGAAACCCAGGCAACCTCTCCACCTGTTGCTCTGCACCAGGCCCCTTGGAGGACCCTCTTTTTCAGATGGTCCTTCAACCTGAGCCGAGGTGTCAAAGTGCTGATTAATCTCGGGTTTAGACTCTGTGTCTTACATTCTTTGGTTCTCTGACTTGTAGGCCCTGTACTCACATCCTTGATAGACTTTGTCCCACTTCAGTGAACCTGCTGCCTGACAGCCCCGCCTTACCCCAGTGTCTGCTTCGCCCTCAGAACACCATACATCTGAAATGGTTGACGTTAGGGACGGATGAATAGATGTCTAAAATTTTCCATGATGTCGGGCTCTAGGTCCATTCCTTCACCTCAGTATCATCCAGGAAATGTCGACAGTAAAAAGATATTCAAAAATGCCCAGAGGAATTTTTTTTTTAAAGAAAAACAAATAATTGAAGGAAGGGTAGTTGATACATGACATACTGAAAATATGAAAGAAATCCATGCACCCAGACTATGGATCTTACCTTCCAAGAAAGCATTTAGGGAATGTGGTCAGTTTTCTTTTTCTGTCTTTGATCAGATTCCCTTGTTTGCACATCATCTTGTAGAGTTTCTCGCCCTGTTCGGAGATCATTACCCAGGTGTCTTGCTCCATTCCTAATTTTAAACCTATCGAAAAAGAAACCAAGGACAGGAAACTGAAAAAGTCTCCTCACTCACTCTTGCCTGCATGAAACCAAAATTATTGCACATCAAGCATGGGCAGGGGCTTGCAGATACAGAGCTCTCTACCACGGGGCACCTGGGTAGCTCAGTTGGTTAAGTGCCTGCCTTCGGCTCAGGTCATGGTCTCAGGGTCCTGGGATGGAGTCCTGAATCAAGCTCCCTGCTTAGCAGGGAATCTGCTTCTCTCTCTTCCTCTGCCCTTCCCCATGTGCATTAGTTCTCTCTCTCTCCCTCTCCCTCTCTCTCTCAAATAAATAAATAAATAAATAAATAAATAAAACCTTAAAAAAAACCCTGAATTTGGAGCATAGGGGAAGGAAATAGAAGGGGTCAAAGGGAAGTTAATGGGTGGCTTTATCATGGGACCTACAGAAATCACAAGATTTCTGTGATTTTTATTTTCAGTCTTCTAACTACAAAATTTTTAATAGAATTTTTATTTTTTACAATGGAGGAGGAATTACCATTTGTCAGGAACAGAATAATTTTTATTAAGAATAGACCCTGTTAACATAAACAAATTAATAGAACATGCTTGTTTGCTTGCTTTGCTTTCTTCCTTTTTCCCTTCCTTCTTTCCCTCCTTCCTTTTTCACTTCAGATTTATCTATATGCCTAGCTATTCTGAAAAAATAAAGGTTCAACTTGATGAAACATTTATTTTACCTTTGAAATGATTTGCTATGCTATTTGAATTGATTGCTGGATTCAACAAAACTTAAAGAATTAGCTATGTATTCATAATCTTTGTTTTAAACTTTTCTAACACGCTCTCCATCCCAGATCAATCAAAGGAGTTAAGTATTTAAAATGCTTTGGAAATTCTCAAACAAATGTGTACTATGAATATTTTAATAGAAGTAGAAGCTTTGCATGTTCTTCAAGGGAAAATTTCTGAAGGTGGAAGAAAGGGTTCTTTGTGTCCTGAAATTTCATCAGCAATGAGATATTTTGCTCCTAAATCTCTGGGGAAAAGGAATAAACACCGCTTTTTGTCTTATCAGTTATTTGGTAAAGAAATTAGTAGTAACACAAGCATTTCTGTTTCTAGCTGAATTGCAGAAATGTGCTTAATTGCAGATAAACTTCGCATAACTGAATATTGCCAGATCAAGTACCTTTTGCAAATCTTGCTAAAAACGTGAAGCAATTTTGAGCCAGTTGTCCTCACATGAACACACTCTTTATTGGGTTGCGTTATATTCAATGGCATTGTAACAATTTTAAAATGTTAATGTATATCCAGAGTGCTTTATTCTATAATTAGGATACTAACATTTTTAGTCTAGAAATGTTCAATGTACTGTTAAAGATATAACTGTGGAAGGCCCTACAGCACTGCACTGTACTACTGAAGAATGTCTCTTACAGGAAAACTCCATAATGATGTTTTCGAAATAGCAAGAATAAGGTGCAAAGAAAACTGAACAAATTTTAAAGCAAATGAAATTATGTGTAGACTGAACGTTTGCATGCTTCCCAGATTCGTATGTTGAAACCTAACACTCAGCATGATGGTATTAGGAGGTAAGGCGTGTGGGAGGTGATTAGGCTAGAGTCCTCATGAATGGGATTGGGATTAATGGCCTTATAAATAAGACACAGAGAGATCTCTTGCCCCTCTACCATACGAGGACACAGTGAGAAAATGGCCACCTATGAACTGGGAAATTGCTATCACCAGACACTGAACCTGGGACTCCTGGCCTCCAGAAGAATGAGCTACGAATTTCTGTTGTTTATTAGCCACCCGGTCTGGGGTATTTTGTTATAGTGGCCTCGACAGACTAAGATACTATTTAAAAGACACTGCTGGCCACAATATATTATTTTACTAACTATTCAACATTTTTCTTTTCTTTTAGTAATAATAGAAGTATTCAAAATGTATTTTAGGGGTACTTGGGTGGCTCAGTCAGTTAAGCATCTGCCTTTGGCTCAGGTCATGATCCCAGGGTCCTGGGATCGAGTCCTGCATCGGGCTTCCTGCTCAGTGGAAGCCTACTTCTCCCTCTCCCTCTGCCTGCTGTTCCTGCTGCTTGTGCTGTCTTTTTTGCTGTGTTAAATAAATAAAATCTTAAAAAAAAAAGTATTTTATCATGAGTCTTACATCACATAGGAAATCTAAGTGAACATCATATGCCTTTTTCCTTTCTCATAACTTCTGCCCATTATCTGCTTTCTTGCTAAGTTAGAATCTTCATAAAGTATAATAGTGCCCAATTCATACACCCACCTTTTCGCCGTTCTCTTTCTTTCAAAATAGCTTCAAACCATTCATGTTTCTCCTCGGGTGTTTTTGCCATACACACAAACCATTTATTTTTCGCTGTGTTATGTATCTTCCATCCATTGACAACAATGTGTCCACTGCTATGGAAATCAGCTGGAAATTAATGGGTAAAGTTAAACAACAAATATAATATTATATCAATATAACCATTCAATTCATAACAGTTCCAGGATCACTGAATTCTTAAAAGTATCTTTGCATTATATGTGTAAATTGAGAACATAAAAACCAAAAAAATTATGTGTTTATATGTTAAATGCAGTCAGTACTCAGAAATGGAACATTCTAATTCATAACATTATTATATTACATGAAATCGAACTTCTGAACTAATTAGCATTCCTTTCCTCTATGTCCAAAAATGTTGTTAAAGTCCCTAAAGTAATAAAAGAAGAACTTTTCAAAGAATTTTCATCTCAATAATCAAATATCCAAAGTGTCACATTTTGTCTTTTTAATATTCCTTTGAAATATTATTCTAGGTTTCAAAAGCAAACAATACTGCCACAGAACAATTCTCAGCTGTTTAATGAACCCTACAATAAGAATCAGAACAAATGAAGGGAACATACCAAGAGTACATTTACCTAATCTTCAATAAATGGAAAGATACAAATGCCAATCCATTATCATTGCTCACGGCTGAAAAATACACACTCTGTAAAGCCACATCATTCCATATAACTGGCATGAATAGAAACAAAAAAATATTTTGAGTATGAATTCACATTGTCTTTTACTAGGTCTCACCATAAGTTTGGCTATACTGTCATGCTGGATTTGAAAATGTCAACAGGAACCCCTCTATGGCAGTTTTCTGTCTAATAACAACAGGTAGAGAATAGTGATGTTACTTGTATCCAGTCTTTACTGGCATGACAGCCCTCAAAGCAAAAATCCAGAACGAAAAAACATAAGACAAAGACCCGAGTCAGCACCTGCACCAATTTAATGTGACAATTTTCATTCATCTCCTGAAGAGTCACTAAACAGTAACAGTGGGTAGACAGGAGGTGAGCCACAAAATGTTAAGGGTGGTTTAGAGAAATGATTTTGTCGCACTGAGCTATTTTTTGTTTCTTTAGGTTTTCTCAAATGGCCTATTTTATTTGGTGAGTTCTAAGTTGAAGCAGGCATGGTTGGCACTCATTCTCCCAAAATCTTGTCCCCATTATCTTTTTAGCTCCCAAATCACCATACAGTATCTTTGATCAGATTAACTATTCCAAAAACACATTTTCAAATGATTCTGTATAGTTCGGGGTCTTTAAAAATTCCAAATTATCTATGAGTCAGAATAGACTTTTATTAGATGTCATCTATAATACAAACACACCCCCACACACACACACATACACACATACGTATTCACATATGCCATAATCCCATTAATAATAACAACTTATGATAAAAGAGGGAATCAAACTATCAGAAGATTTCCCCCATCAGGAAATAACAGTCTGTTTTTAAAAGGAATGTTTACCTTTTCCTTCTTACCCTTGCATTTTTAATTCATATTCGTATCCTATACAAAGTAGCAGCACCTAGTAATACATGTCAGATAGGTATCAATGGCTTTAATGCCTTGTTACCTCCTACAAAAAAATCACTAAGTGAGAAATCATGATAAATTGGTGGGGAAAAAAGATCAAATTGTACATGTCTACATACCCTCCTCCACAAATGTGTCACCTTACAAGGCCAGTATCACAAACAAGCATCAGTTTTTCAGACTCGGGATCCCCCCTTCCACAATCAGACCAAGATTAGCTGAGTGAAGCCAGCACTGCTGCTTAAAAGATCCCACAGTCCCACTAGTGCTACTCCCCTTTTAATCATACTCCAGGAAAAGAAAATAACAAGAACCACACGCAACCTGCAGTGATAAAATACTGGACTTACTTTAAAATGAACGTAATGTATTCTTCCCATAGAATAACCAAGGAAACGCAAGTTCATGTGCCAGGCTGATGCTCTTGACCCTGCATACCGAATGTACTGGGCCAGTCACCCCCATAAGCTGGGTCTTCCTTCCTTCCCTTCCTCCCTGGATTACTTGATCCTGGCCTTGCTCTCTCCACACCCTGCTGACTCTTCCTTCAATATTTCATCAGGCCATTCCTTACTTCAAAAGCTTTTGGTAGCTCACCACTGAACCAAGTGAAAACATGGAAGCTTGCTTTTGTGCTTCTCCTTAAACTAACCCCACCCTATCAAACATGGCCATTTTCCACTGCGTTCTTCTGTGGCCCTGCCACCCTTTGTGGCTTTCCTCCTTGTCCTGTGAGTACTTACCTGTTCTGCAGGCTAACGCTCCCATCGAGCTACCCAGCTCTGCTCTCTGCCTCAAGCAACTCTTTCTTCCCTTTACAGTGTACCCAGATCCTTCATGAAGCCTTGCCTAACCATTACAACCCATGCATTCAGACTTCCCTTGGAACATAAATGATTAAATTCAGAACTAGACAAGTCAGGGTGCCTGGGTGGCAGTGGGTTAAGCCACTGCCTTCGGTTCAGGTCGTGATCTCAGGGTCCTGGGATCGAGCCCCACATCGGGCTCTCTGCTCTGCAGGGAGCCTGCTTCCCTCTCTCTCTTACTTAGCCTGCCTCTCTGCCTACTTGTGATCTCTTTATGTCAAATAAATAAATAAAATCTTAAAAAAAAAAAAAGAACTAGACAAGTCAGCATGAGATTGCATGTGGCCATTGCTTCATGAACAGAAAGTGAGACTGCTAACTGACTATTAACAATCTGTCAAGGCAAATAATAGGTTAATTGCTGTACCAATAAAATATTTTGAAAGATTAGGTTACAACACCTAATAATTTAAATTGGAAAGACAGGGGATGCCTGGGGGGCTCAGTTGGTGAGGTGTCTGCCTTTGGGTCAGGTCATGATCCTGGGGTTCTGGGATCCAGCCCCACATCAGGCTCCCTGCCCAGCAGGGAATCTGCTTCTCCTTCTGCCACTCACCCTGCTCATTTTCTCTCCCTCCCTCTCTCTCTCTCTCTCACTCGCTTGCTCTCTCAAATAAATAGATAAAATCTTTATAAATAAATAAATAAATAAATTGAAAGGATAATGTTCCTTTTTAAAGTTTATGTGCTAGCCACTTTTTATCACTAATTTTAAAAATCATAAATAATTTTAAACATATGGGTAAACATGAATGTATATATACATACAACAGGCCTCAAAATGTATAAATATCACAATGATATCCATTACCAAATTACCACTTATTTCAAAATAAGAATTAGTGACATAAAAATGGCTTCATAATTTCAATCACAGCACATTTTTTAATAACTTTATTCTAAAAAATAAATTTGAATTCAACTTATTTATTAAGAACAGTAACATACACAGCATGGAAGGGGTGTGTGGGTGGCTCAATTGGTTAAGCATCTGCCTTCAGCTCAGGTCATGATCCGAGTCCTGGGATCTAGCCCCATGAGCCCACGTCAGGCTCCCTGCTCAGTAGGGAGTTTGTGTCTCCCTCTGCCCCCTCCTCCATACTCTCTCTCTCCCTCTCTCTTTCTCTAATAAATGAAATCCTAAAACAAACAAACAAACAAAACATGGAAAAGCCCAACAGTGCTTTTCCTTAGTAGAAATTTAAAAATATTTTTTAATGAAAGAATAATTTATTAATGCCATATGCAGAAATTTGCAAACTTCAATGGATCTAAAATATAATTCTACAGGAAGTGTTAAAAAGGAATGGGATTAAAATTGTCATTCATTAAGTGTAGAATATCCAAACTGAACAGTCTCCAGGCACCAATGTTTTTTCCAAAAAGAGAAAAATCCAAGGGGCAGCCCTGAACAACTCACTAATTACTTTGAAGCTTTGCAAATTCCTCACTCTTAATTCTGCATAGTTTTACATAATGAGATGAGGTTTTTCTAAAACTGATAATACTATAACTCTCAGTGGAAATACTGGTATCTTTTCAATAGTGTGAGTTTTAATGAGATGGAAGCTAGCCAAGTACTGTATACTCAAGCTAGGAAACAGAAGAAACTGCCAAAAAATACTATTCAAAACATCAAGAAACTGATACCTAAACAATGTATTTAACCCTTATCCTGATGATCAATGGTGTGAATGCATAAATTTCTCAGAGAAATTTTAAAAATCACAATTTACTCACATTATGAATAATTAATGCTAAAAAAATGACTTTCTGGAATAAATCTTTGATTCTATCAAATAATATAAGAAGATTTTCTGGCATCCAAAATCATTTGAGATTATTTATGACAAAAAAAAAATTTTTTTTAAAGGTTATAACAGATTTTTCCTTTTAAAGCTAGAAATAACTCGGAGCACCTGGGTGGCTCAGTGGGTTGAAGCCTCTGCCTTCAGCTCAGGTCATGATCCCAGGGTGCTGGGATGGAGCCCCACATCAGGCTCTCTGCTCAGCGGGGAGCCTGCTTCTTCCTCTCTCTCTCTGCCTGCCTCTCTGCCTACTTGTGATCTCTGTCTGTCAAATAAATAAATAAGATCTTAAAAAAAAAAAAAAACTAGAAATAACTCCACTGACCTTTTTTTCAATTCCCAAGACCACTCCTTTAAATTAATAACATTGAAAATTTAAGTATATTAGAAAGGAACTAATATATCTTGGTAGTCTTTTCAACATTGTAAAGTTATTTTTTATTACGAAAGTATTCAATAGTGCTTATACTAGAGTAGTATGGTTGTTAAGGTCATTATGGTTTGTCTATTTTGTTGATGATTAAGTAACAATAAATATATGTTATGTGGATGATAAGACATGAAGATAAAGATGACTACAATTCAAAAAATGATTCTACTTAACTGAAAAGTGGATACAAAGCTACAGAGTTCATGTTTTTAGGCATTTAAAAAATCTATGCATAAAAAGAAAATGGAAATATTTTAAAATTCTCATTTACTTCTTTTTAGGTGATGAAATTATCTAATATTTTCTATTTATTTTTCTGTTATTTCCAAATTTTCTCTAATAAGCAAAATTTAATTTAAAAAAATCAATGTGTTTAATATCTTTAAATGGACTAAAATATTTATATCGAAAATGACAGCTGAAATATTTCCTTAAAAAAATCAATTCACACTAAAGAATACCTTAAAGAATAAAAAATTTCCATCTTATTCAATTCAATTCCATCAAATCAATTCAAATTTGACCATTGTATTGAAATTTGTGGTTTGCTACTACAGATCACATTTTCTAAAGGTCACCATTTTGCCCTCTATCCAACTACACAAATAAACTAGTTCTTAAGAGAGAATATAAATGACCTGCTGTTACTTTCCTGAATGAATTTCTAAGCATATACTATGAAAATTACCAAGAAAGTTAATTGCAGAAAGTTCAACAGATTTCCTACTTAGGTCTTAAATTGGATACTTTTTATGCATCATGTTCAAACTAATATCTCAGAAAGAATCTTCAAAGAATATTTAATTTAGAATTAACCAAAATGAGAATTGGGTCTAGAGAATGATGGAATAGAAATTTGGAGACAAACTCAATGGCTACCATCTTCCTTCAACATAAGCAGTAATGGATAACATGGATATATGAAAACAAACAAATTTTCACATTTCTACATGTCATATCATTATTGCATTAATTCGTTGTATACTGAGATATAACTGATGTAATTCAATTCATAAAATATTATAAGTGAAAGTATAATCAAGTTTATTTTTCAAAAGATTTAAATAGTTACACACTGGCTAAAAGCTTAGTCTCATTCCAAACGCAATTATTTCTTCTGCAAGTTTTGAGTTAAATCAATGCGATCAGTGACTGATGGAGTCCTTTACTTAGAAAAGTATTTTCCTTATACCTAGAGTATGCAAAAATACCTAGTATTTTTATAATATATTCAAATAGACGGGGGAACATTTAAACTTTTCATCAAAAGTTTTAAGCATGCTTAAAAATATACCTTGATTAATCAATTTGTATTATTTACAGCACAACATGGTATAGTCATTGTTTGTTTTGGGTTTTGGCAATGAGCAGATGAGCCTGACAGTGTTTGCCATCCCTCATGTAACTTATCCAGGGTCCAAGGGTGGGAGGGACTTGGCATATGGACATGGGTTAGCTCTGCAGAGACCTATCAACATCAGAGCTCCCATTCATAGAGTTTAAAGTAAGAACACTTAAAACCTGAGCTCATCAAAAGAAATGGAGATTTTGTGATGGAAGTGACCAAGAAAATAAAAAAGGAAAAAGCTGGTACAGATCATTTCTTAGAAGAAACAAACAACAAAAGTTCATCTCTATATACTGATGCCTTATTTCTTCACCGCTCTCCAGTTGGTCCCCATAGATTTAAAATCCATATGGAACCTCTGCTCCATATTTCTCAAGGCATGGCTATGGTCACCAAGAAAACCTCACTCCAGTTCCAGCTTCATAATAAAGAGCTGGGTAAACTTGGACATGACTTCAACGTGGCTTCATTTCCATCTGAAATGTTAACAAGGTATATTAGTTGATATTCAAGATCCTATTCATCTTCAGAAATTCTATCTTTGAATTCCAAGTCCTGGCTGAGGATATATACTTATCCTAAGGACCTAGTAGTCACAATTACTAGAAAATTAAATTTTCTTTGCAGGAAGCAAATGGGAGGTATCCAGCTGCAGCCTAAAGTTTCTTTAAGTGACCTTGTAACAAGTATTTGTAGTCAGATTCCTGCAACATGCTGTGTATATATGTTTATGGGCAAATAAAGGACTTAACTGTGTACTACAAAGTGTAATTAAATTCTTCATCATATTTCAATGAAACATGAACCTTGGAAGTTTGTGCCAAGAGGTGTCATCAGACAATTTATGACTAAACATTCTGAAATGTCCTGTCTTTCCCACTAATTCATATCTACCAGGGTCTGAAGGCTTGTTTCCCTAACATCCCTATCCCCCAGGAACCAAAGTCCTGAAGGTACACAATCTTACCAGCACTAAAAGAACATTTTCATGGGATTGAATCCAAAGTCCATTTGCGTTAAAGTTCCATCACCCCACATAGGCTCTCACTCCCCTACATCAGACACAGATATGCTGAAAATGGTATTCTATGCAAATGCCTCCAAAGGCCCTAGCTTCTTAGATTAATTTAGTGCCCGTTTCCCAAAACATAAGAATCAGTGTCAAATTCATCAAAATTTACCAAAATTCATTTAGATTACCAGTGCAAATGATACAAATGGGCATGATCACGTCATATGGGGGAAGGGAAGGAAGTAAGACCCAGGAGCTGTGTGCTCACAGAAAGGTATAAAAAGGGGAGAAAACAAAGAGAAGGCTAAAACAACAGGGGACAGGTGGTTCCACCAGGGGGAGACAGGGCCAAGAAGGAGCAGAGTGGAGGTCTGAGTATGCCTTCCTCTACCTTACTTCCCCCCACCTCAAGAACAACAGGGGCTTTTGATATTCTCTTCAGGACTCAGGTTACTGAAGCAAGACAGCTGTTCACATGTAGACAGACAACATTGCTAAATGTCACTAGGGTCCTCTCAGAGCATTAAAATGAATTAAAATGTCACCTTCTAAAAAAATATCATGCGCATCCCGACATGGAAAGGTAGCCTAATAGGTCCCACATGCTAGCCTGTGAGTATTTGCAACTGTATTGATGCCTGTACCACAGAAAGGGATTTTCAGCTGTGCAGGTGATCAGACATTTCCACACCTCCATCCCTCCCTTAGCCCATGAAGAACCTCGCCACAAGATGACTTGCTTCCCAAGAGAGTACACCCGAGTTCTGCTCATTGCACCTCTTTTCCCCTTACCTGCAGCAATCATGCTTCACTATTTATGTTCTAGACCATGTTTTAGGGTGCTAACAATGGGATAGAGAAACAGCACACAGGTGAGCATCTGAAAATTTGTGTGCCTACAGATGATAAACATTGTTCTCCCCTCTGGGACTTAGAGATGGCAACAAAGGTATGTGGTAGCAGGGAGCTGACCTGTGCCTCATCCCATGTATAAATGGGGTATTATTAAGGCATTTCTCCATATGGGAACTAAAGTCACTTGGCAACAACTAATATATTTTATTTCATCTTGTCTTTTCTTCTAGAATTTCTTTGAAATTCTAATTAAAAATCATTGGGGAGAAAATGTGATCCAATTTACTAACCATTAATATTATAGACTAGTATATTGTCATATTACTCAAAATGACCCATTTATTTTTGCAAATACAAAATAAGTTATTTAACCTCATTTTATTTAATGTTTGTGACTAACCGTGGTTTGGTAAGTTTACTTTTCAAAGTCTGTACCTTCAAATCTGCAGTGTGAAAATGCACTATCTTTAAGTAATAAAGTACTTAAAATGTACACTTAAAATACACAAAACACCCTTCCTCTACAAGCAAATCGACATGTTTATATGCATACTGGCTTTATAGTTAAAACAAATTTAGAGTTTTCCATATTCTACAGTGAGCATATTATATGAAAAAATATCACATATATACATAAAAAATAGTATAACTTGAAGAAAATAAATGAATCCCTTATTATCTGCACTCATGCTGGTGATACCAGGAACTGTGAGTGTGTACATCACTCCTACTCAGCTATTTCTTTGTATCTCTGTGTTGAATGCTACTGTGTTTCAGCCAAATATAACTTTCTACTTTGCCAATAGTCTTCTCCTTTATCTTTCCTTTATCTTGCCTCTCTCCCCCAACTGTTCTATCCAACAAAATACTTCTAAGCTCTAATGCACCACAGATGAATTATTCAGGTGAAAAGTCTGTCTTATGAGGGAGTTTACCATTGGTCTTTCCTTCTAAAAAACAAATTACCTACCCGTGCCATCATCCACATTCTCCACTTCCATCACCTCCGTATTGATCCGGCCACGAAAAAGGTACCGATGTCCATCTGTAGATGCCTTGCTATTCTTCAACCGTCTTGCAATGGAATGAAATCACAAAAACATTGTTACTAAACTTAATAAAAGACAGCGTTGAAGTAATATGATGTAAACTAGCCATAGAAAAAAAAATGAAAAAGACACCAATGCCATCAATGATATTAACTCTGAGGCTCTTGGTGTTTATTTGTGTCCTCCCAAATGAGGCTTATGTCCCAGCTTTTGTAAACAAATGGAAGCTTCGGACTAAGAACAACATACAGTTGGGTGGGTAAATGGGTGCTTTTGCTCAATTTAAAACATAAAATGTACCAAATCAAAGTCTAGTACACATTAAAAGTTGGTTATTTTAAAATTTCCTTTTATTTCTTTCACTTTCATTTTTCATTTTTCAGTAACTAGCTGGTAATTTCCATTTTTTCAAATTTGGATAAAATTCAGTTAGTACTTATGATCCCTTGTGAAGAAACTGTGCTGGAAATTCTTAAGTTCAGTATTACACTGCTGAAAATAATTTTCCTATATTATTTCTATGATGTGAGACCTATATACTTGTTGAATAAGTCTCTTAATACATGTATAATGCTTTATAAGGGTCTTATTTATTTTTAAAATAGTCTAAAACATTCCAGAACTTTGGTATAGTGTGTCTAAATCTGGTCTTTAATCTTAAAATGTTTGTAACACAAAGTTAAAATATCCAGGTTTATAAATGAACATTTATAGTAATGAATTATGTGGCTAAATGTGTTTGTAGTTGAATCACTGAACATTCAGGAGAGATTATTTTAAAAACAGGTTTTTTTTTAATTAAAGAGGAAAGATTCTAAGAAATGATTCAGGAGGATTCAAGAATACCTAGTCACTCAAAAGATTTCAATTAACTTGAACTATTCCATTTGACTCATTGACAAAAGTCTGCCTAATAATTTAATATACTGAAATAATTATTCATTTGTTACATTTGTTGTACAGACACATCTGGCAAAACTGAAGGCATAAATATTCACCAATTTCGGTGTCCCTCTCCTCCCCACCCCTGCAGTTAGATACCAGCCCTGAAGCAGGAGGAGTAGGTGCAGGGAGGGGTCACAAGGTGCTGTCCCAGTCCGAGTTCCTTCCTTGAAGGAGAATATATATTATCTGTCTAAAGCCTCATCAGTACTTAGTAGTCCTTCATCCCTACTAAAAGAAACTAATTAAATAGATTAGTTAACCTGATTAGGGTTTGTCAGCCCCAGGCCTTCACCATCTTGCAGTCCTATGTTCATTATGAAACTCACCTCTAAATGTCCTTTGCTAATAACCCTAAATAAATGCTACCAATTAGGGATTCAGGCCATATAGTATGCAAGTTGGCATCATAGAAAGCCAGGATAGAGAAGAATGCCAAGAAGTTCTGTATGTAGGTAACTGCATATCCTCCCAGGTAGGACATATTATTGTGGTCTCTTGCAAAACAGAGTTGCTTTTAAGTTGATACATCATTACTTCAATCATTTTTTTTTTAAGTTTTATGCACAGGCAAAGATAACAGTTTTATTCACATGCAAAGAATCATGGTAACAGTTTTATTCACAGGCAAAGAATCATGGTGTGGAATCTATCACTGGGTCCTATTTTCCAAAGCATTAACTTACTTTGTGATCTTGTGAGTTCTGTATAGGCTTTTAAATTTCTCTTGACCAGTAGATAGTAACACTCAGTATGAAATTCCACTAAATGTCTGATCAATATTGTTAACACTTGGTTTAAAAAGAGAGAACTTCAGTCCCTTCAGAAGGTGGTTCTATTAAAGTTTATCAACTGAAAACCTTCTGCTTTGAAAATAATTTTGCTCTATGTTTTAATGTAGAATATTTGATATCCCAATTTCCTGATTTCCCTCCTAATTAATTGTTTTAGTGGTCATCACATGCACGTTGCAGGAATCTTCATAATGGCAGAAAAATTAAAACAAACAAATAAACAAAAACCTAAAGTCCACTGATAGGAGAGTGGATAATTAAGTTGTTATCAATTTAATTGTGATAATATTCAACCAATGGAATATTAAGCAACAGTTAGATGAATAAACTATTCCTATACATATGGATAAATAATCTACAAACTATATTGTACACAAAATACAAAGTGCAGAAAACAAAATACATTATAATACTTAAAGAGCTCATTAACAAGCCAAACTAAGCCATATCATGTTTTATGTATTAACTATTATACAAAACATTATATTTTTAAATACTAGTGTCTCCTGAGATTAATAGCATTAGTAAATTCCAGAGCTGAGATTCCTAATCAGCACTCTTGGCTTTTGTGAATGTAACTCTAGAATTCAATTCATCAAGTCCCTAGGTTTTACAATTAAAATACTGTGGAAATTTCAAAAAGGTTCAGTTTACTCATACTCACTAAACAATCATTAGAGCTTCAATAGTACTTGGTTAAAGGGATGAAGTATCCTAAAATGAAGGGACTTGATGGTATATTCTTACTACTTCAGTTCAGGAAGGGAATAGACAATCATATTTATGCAGTATTTCCATTTCTAGTCACTATGTATTTTGTCCACATTATATCTCATTAATGATATTTGTTCAAAAACTAGGATTTTAGGGGCACCTGGATGGTTCGGTCAGTTAAGCATCCAACTCTTGATGTTGGCTCAGGTCATGATCTCAGGGTCCTGGGACTAAGCCCCATGTCAGGCTCTGCACTTCAACAGGGAGTCTGCTTCTCTCCTTCTCCCTTTGCCCCTACTGCTGCTCACTCTCTCTCTCAAAATAAATAAATAAATCTTAAAAAAAAAAACAACAAACCCTTCAGGATTTTAATTTTACAAAATCTTTTCTGTTGTTTACCAATTTAACAAGGAAAGTCGTAAGACCATAAATGATATCATTACTGTACATGGCTAATTTCGCAAAAGCTTTGCACTTGAAGGCAGGCATATATATAAATAAGTATGAGATCAGTTGTAATTTAAAAAAAAAGATCTCATTCTCAAATGGATGCCTTTAATAACTGCACCTAGATGGATGTGTTAATTGACTTCATGGGCAAAATCCTTTCATGATGTATATCAAATCATCATGTTTTACAATTAAAATATATTACAATGTTATTTGTCAACTAGTCCTCAATAAAGCTGGAAAAAAATTGTACCTAAACAACCTGAAGCACATTATAATTTTTTAATGAGTTATATACAAGTAAATTAACATCCTTTTCTACATCTTCTTAAAACCTATTTCTATGAATCCCAATCTTGCTGCAAAACACAGAGAATTTAGAAGAGCACAGTAAAAAAAAAAATACACAATTCATTTTCATATGTGGTAAACCATCTTTTTTTAAAAAAAAAAAAGCTCATTAAGGCAGGGATTAACAACAACTATCTTTTTTGAAAGATTTATTATTTCTTTATTTAAAGAGAGAGAGCATGTGTGAGATTAGGAAAGGGCAGAGTGAGAGAGAGATAAAGAGAGAGAGAGAGAAACTCAATTTGAGTGCAGAGCCTGATATGGGGCTCAATCTCACAAACCTGAGATCATAACCTGAGTCAAAACCAAGAGTTAGACACTTAACCAATTGCACCACCCAGGCACTCTATAACTATCTTTTGACTTTAACCCTAACCTGTTCCCTGTCAGCAAGACACATGGGTAGTTCTATGCTTTCTCAGCACCACTGTATATTTGCACTAATGTCTCATGGTAGGGAATTCTGATACTATAATCCAAGAGGCAGAACTCCCATGTCATCAGCATAGCTGCCAACTCAGAGAACTTGCTCTTGACATCTTGTTCATTGACTTAGGAAATCCCATTTCAAGAGATGAAGAATGACGTTCCCTTAATCTTGCCTCAGAAATCAGTCAGTTTTTGAGTTTCTCATTCTCATGCTACCAAAAGTCTTTGGTTACATTGTCCTCATTTCTGAACCTAGAATAAACACTCGTGCAAACCCTGCATCCTTAACCCATCTGTTTTACCTTTAAATTTCATGAAGCCTTTTAGTACCTTTTCACTGAAAATAATGTATCCTAGATATGGTTAGGAAGAAGTATATAAAGGCTCAGGAAATTTCCCAATTAAGTTCAGCTTTATTATTTTGCTTAAACAATCTGTAAAATGTTTCACCAGGAGTTCAAGGAAACATCCTATAAGTACCTCCTAAAGAAAAAATTATATCCCTACTTTAAAACAAATAACATACATCAGTAACACTGCTACATTAAATTACTTAAACTGATGATAACTAAGCTATACCAGGAACTTGCTTGGGTTTCATTCATTCACTTATTAATTCATTTATTCACTTATTCAACAAATACCTCTTGAGTGTCTATTACATGGCAGATCCAGTCTCTGGGGAAATAGCACAGAATAAGTAGCAAGACCAGTATTCTCATGGACTTTACAGTCTAATCCAGCAAAGGTGGCAACAAATAAATAAATAATGAAGAAAATATTAGCAAGAATTTTCTGGATATTGATATAAAATTGCTGGGAGGCTATACTAGATGGGGCAGTCAAGGAAAATATTTCCAAAGAAGCGGAGGAAATGACTGGGAAACAGCACTGGCAAACACGGAAGACATATTCACCTTTCCTACAGAGCCTGAGGCATGTGGGTTCGCAACAGAAAAATTTTTTTTCCTCCAAAAGCTTCCTGGGAAGGTAGTGTTATTAAATAATAGTCACATTTCAGTCAGGTTTTACAAGAAGGTAATGAGAAGAATCAGAAAATTGGCTAAGAGTATGTGAATTTTGCTGAGGAGATCCTGAGTTCCCAGAAGCACAGAGGAAAAGGTTGAAACTGTGAGATTGATAAATAATTTCTTTTTTCTTAAAAAAATTTTTTTCCAAGGTTAATAAGTTATTTCTGAAGAAGTACCTTTTTATCACCTTACCTGTGTTTCCTTTTGCAATACACCAGAAGATTATCAAAAAGAAAGAATACCCGTTCTTGAATATTTCCAGAAGAAATTTTCAGCAAGACACCACACATTAGCATCTCAGTGCAGGTGTCAGTGATATTGGATCCCTAGGTTTAAAAAAAAAAAAAGAGAGAGAGAGAGAGAGAGACAATGTCTGATCACTTAACAGAAACTTTTGTGTGTAATTCTTCTTCTCATTAAAAGTCTGTTTTTATTTCAAGATACAATATATGGACAGGATAAAAGTTGAAACACCATAAATATTTATACACTGGATGGAGGTCTCTTTTACTCCCAGACTCCTCCTCATCAGTCTCAGCAGATACAACTGTGGTTAGGAGACTCTGGGTCATCTTTTAGCTTTCTTACACATGTAGGCATATATAAGCATGGATGATACATGTTACCTATGCTCTTTTACAAGGAGATGATTTCAAACTGATGCATAAAATTCATGTCTCTAATGCTCCACTCCCCCTCCTCTCTTCCCTTGGTATGGGAAAAGAGTTCCATGGATATATCACAAAGTACATGAAATTCTCTAAATTTTTAATGGGTCTCAACTTATTTATCCACTCTTTGGATGGAGAGAAGAAAAAAGAAGAAATTAAAGGAAAAAAAAAAAAACTATTTAAAGAGAGCAACCTTCCATAGAGCTTTAACCCAAGTTGAAAGTTAGCATAGGCACACTCGTTCCTTAAATAAGTGTTCACTGAGTGCATGCTAAGCTCAGATGACTAGTGACAAAACTAAGTCTTCACACAAGAACTAACGACTGAGAGGAGCCACAGATGGAAAGTGCCTGAATCATGAACAGAGGAAAGCTGCCCAATGAAGCAGAGCACAAGCATTGGATTATTGTGTGAGCTGATCAAAAGTTTGTCCTTTGAGCCATTATAAATGTGGCAGTGTATTTGTTTCTACATCCTAAACTATCAAAGCTAATGCACTGAGTTAGACAAAACAAAGAACAAAAAAAAAGTTTTCAATAGATAGCTGATAAGCATGCTCTGTTCTCAATATGCCTGGTCTCTTTAAATCTAGGGATAAATTTTTGATTCTTTTTCAACTCAATGCTTTTATTTTTGTTTTTGATATTTAAAAATCAGACCATGAATTGTAAATTTCATATTTCCACAGAAATCATTGATACAGTTTCTCTGATTATAAAAAATTAAATTACAATGATAAATCATACATGTCAGTAAGAAACTTCCCAAATGGGAAGTTAGGAGAATGTGACTGTGCTGAGTATCTGCATTACAAACACATTTTATTTATTTTTTTATTTTTTACTAACTTTATTTTTTTAAAGATTTTATTTATTTATTTGTCAGAGAGAAAGAGACAGAGAGAGCACAAACAGGCAGAGGGAGAAGGAGGTTCAGTCCCAAGACCCCAGGATCATGACCTGAGCCAAAGGCAGGTGCTTAACTGACTGAGACACCCAGGCATCCCTACACACATTTTTTATTTTTTGTTTTTATGTTTAACTTAATTTTTAATTTTTTTAAAAATTTTATTTCCAGGAGAGTTAACATACAGTGTTACACTAGTTTCAGGTGTATAATATAGTGACTCAGCAAGTCCATACCTTATTTAGTGCTCATCACAATAAGTGTATTCTTAATCCCCCTCACCTCTTTCACCCTTCCCCTGACTCAAATCCCCTCTGGTGACCAACCATTACAAAATATTTTAGATTTAAGACATTTCCCTTTTCTTTGTCTTTCATCATAAAGGTGGACATATAACTAGAAATCTATCAAAATTTTATACCATTTCATATCCTTCCTCATGTGATAATTAAGTAAAAACTGTCATCAAATATAAATATAAATATAAATCCCAATTTCAGTGGCAACAATTTCTTACTTAAGTACTATTCCTACCTCAGAAAAAAATTAATATAGAATACTATTAAAAATTGAAATAAGGAAACATCACATTGATTCTTGCACAAGGACATATACAATGTTACAAAAGTGGTTTTATTGATAACAATTTTACAAAAGGTACAAAATACTTCACCTTAGGTTATTTCTCATGGTAGCCCAAAGAAGTAAAGCAAAGAAGCTAAGTTGTTATCTAATTAAACAGTAGCTGCAAGGGAGGAGCAAGATGGGGGAGGAGTAAAAGACTTAAATATCATCGGGTCCCAGGAGTTCAGCTAGATAGTTATCAAACCATTCTGAACACCTACAAACTCAAGAGGAGATCAAAGAGAAGAAGACCAGTAATTCTAAGAAGAGAAAATAGACCACTTTCCAGAAGGTAAAACGTGTAGAGAAGGAATCCAAGGCAACATATGGGAAGACAGACTGTGGGGGAAGGGCCAGCTCCCAGCAAGAGAGGGAGCAGCAGAGCACAAAAAAAAGAACTTTTAGACATCTACTCCACTGAGGGATGTCACTGTAGAGGCTAAGCAGGGGCGGGGTGGGGAGAATCACTCGTGGGGATAGTATGGTCTCAGGAACCATGGGGTCAAAAAAAGACCAGGGGTGTCTGACTATGGCAAAGCTCCCAGGTACAGAGCAGGGAAGCCAGCTGCAGAGGAGCCAAGGAGGGAGAACTAAGCTCAGGGTTACCTTGCACCATGATCCGAGGCATGGGCAAGACACTACTCTCCCAGCAGGAACCCCACAAGAGGCAGATCAGGGGAGAACACCCACTTCCTCCTCCAAGAGGAGCTGTGAGCACAAAGCTCGAATCAGCTGGGTTTGAAGACTCCAAATGGGAGTGACAGGATGGGTGAGCTTGAAGTGCAGCCGGAGACCAGGGAGACAGAGGGAGGAACTGCTTTGCTCTGAGGGTGCACTGAGCAGTGGGGCCCCCAAGCTTTCAGCTCCTCCAGGGCCAGAGATTGAGAGGCCACCATCTTCATTCTTGTCCTCCAAAGCTATACAGAAAGTGTTCAGGGAACAAAAGCTCCTGAAAGCAAACAGGAGCAGATGACTTAGCCTGGCCCCTGGCAAGGGTGGTGCAATTCCACCTCAGGCAAAAACATCTGAAAATCAGTGCAATAGGCCCCTCCCCCAGGAGATTAGCAAGAACATCTAGCCAAGAACAAGTTCCCTATTCAATGAGAACTGCAGAACTCCAGAGGTAGGGGAAAGCAACACATAGAATTCTTGACTTTTTCCCCATGAATCTTTAGTCTTTGAAAGTTAATTTTTTTAATTTTATTTTTTCTTATTCTATTTTTAAAAATTTGTCCTCTATCTTATTTTACCATTTTAACTATTTTATCTTATCAATACCTTTTTAAAAATCTTCTTAAATTTTCATTGTTATAGTCATATTCTATCCCTTCATCATATTTAACTTTTTTTTTGCATACATACAGGTTTTTTTTTTTCTTTAAAATTTTGGGACATAGATTCTTCTAATAGATCAAAATATACCCTAAATCTAGCACATGTCTTTGTTCTAGTTTCCAGCCTGATCACATTCTTTACTCTTTTTTTTCTCCTTTTTCAAAGAACTTCTTATCTTATCAATTCCTTTTTTAGAATCTTTTTAAATTTTCATCTTCACATATTCCATCCCTTCATGATGTTTACCCTTATTTTGTCTGTTCTATTCACCAGTCTAATATATATATTTTTTTTCTTTTTTCCTCCTTTGTTTTCCTCCCAGTTTCAGGTCTCTTCTGACTTTGTTAGTATATAATTTTCTGAGGTCATTGCCACCCTTGTAGTATTTTATTCTCTCATTTATCTTTTTTATCTGGATAAAATGACAAGGTGGAAAAACTCAACACAAAAAACAACAACAACAACAAATGCTAAATGGGCTCAATGCCCCAGTCAAAAGACACAGGGTATCAGAATGGATTTAAAAAAAGAAGAAGAAGAAAGAAAAGACCCATCGATATGCTGTCTGCAAGAAATTCATTTGAGACCTAAAGACACCTCCAGATTTAAAGTCATGGGGTGTAAAACAAGTTACCACGCTAATGGACATCAAAAGAAAGCTGGCATAGCAATCCCTACATCAGATAAATTAGATTGTAAGCCAAAGACTATAGTAAGAGATGAGGAAGGACACTATATCATACTTACAAGGTCTGATCCAACAAGAAGATCTAACAATTTTAAATATCTATATCCCTAGCATGGGAGCAGCCAATTATACAAACCAATTAATAACAAAATCAAAAAAACATATTGATAATAATACAATAATAATAGGGGACTTTAACAACCCCCTCACTGAAATGGACAGATCATCTAAGGAAAAGACCAACAAGGAAATGAAGGCTTTAAATGACACATTGGACCAGATGGACATCACAGATATATTTAGAACATTCCATCCCAGAATAACAGATTACACATACTTCTCTAGTGCACATGGCACATTCTCCAGAATACATCACATCCTGGGTCACAAATCAGGTGTCAACTGGTACCAAAAGACTGGGATCATTCCCCACATATTTTCAGGCCACAATGCTTGAAACTAGAACTCAACTACAAGAGAAAAGTTGGAAAAAACTCAAATACAGAGAGGCTAAAGAGCATACTGCTAAAGAATGAATGGGTCAACCAGGAAATTAAAGAATTTAAAAAAAAAATTCAGGGAAACAAATGAAAATGAAAACACAACTGTTCAAAATCTTTGGGAAACAGCAAAGGGAGTCCTGATAGGAAAGTATATAGCAATATAACCCTTCTCAAGAAACAAGAAAGGTCTCAAGTACACAACCTAACCCTACACCTAAAGGAGCTGGAGAAAGAACAGCAAAGAAAGCCTAAACCCAGCAGGAGAAGAGAAATCATAAAGATCAGAGCAGAAATCAAATGGAAAAAAAAAAAAAAAAAAAAGGTAGAACAAATCAACGAAACTAGGAGCTGGTTCTTTGAAATAACTAATAATGTTGATAAACTCCTAGCCAGACTTATCAAAAAGAAAAGAGAAAGGACCCAAATAAATAAAAACATGAATGAAAGAGGAGAGATCACAACCAACACCAAAGAAATACAAACAATTATAAGAACATATTATGAGCAACTATACACCAGAAAATTTGACAATGTGGAAGAAATGGATCTATTCCTAGAGACATATAAACTACCACAACTAAACCAGAAAGAAACAGAAA